TGCTGTAGAAACCTTGATATAAAATATCTCAGTTGCATGGTATGTAACCAAATCCATAAAGTACTTTCATTTATTTTCCATTTCCCAGTTCTTCAGTGAGAGAACAAACAGTACTTCCAAGTTCCAATTATAAAAGCATCAAACATGAATACTGTCATAGTTAGCACCCAAACTGCTGCCTCCTTCGTGATGCTTCCCCCAGTTGCTCTTTTTCTACAGAATTTGATGGGGGCAGTCTTCTTCAGCAAAATCTTTATACCTCCTTTCTTCCGGAATCCTCCATCCTGCCCTGCCTTTGCATAGATTGGAATTCTGTGCTTCATCCAAGCCCTATGCAGATTCTATGCCTAAGAGCCATGCCCTGAGAAGGGATTTTTCTTTCCAATCCCATCCATTGACATAGAAATCACCTTGGTCTTCCGCTTTAAGGTGTGTGTAGGATCTGTCCTTATAAGCAGATAGTTTGTTCAAGTAGTCAGTGTACCAGTGGCAGTCCAGTTGCCATAATATGTGGAAAAGCAGTAGGTAATGTTCTAGTTGTACAAGCCATTCTTCCTTGGCACCAAGTTAAATTTATGCTAGGTATGTTACTTGAGTCTCAGCCAGGTTATTATGCTTTATAGTTTATGCCATCCAGACACAAGCTGTTACTGAGTTAATATTGGCAAAGAGCAGAATTTTCCATGAGGGCTTTATTTACAGTTTATTTTCTGCATGGCTATCTGGGGACAGAGAGAGAAGAAGGGCGATTCCTATTGATTGCTGTGCATAGAAGTGGATCATGAAAGCTTATCTGTGCATTACATGTGTCACACCAGGATTTTGCTGCTTCAGAGGCACATTTTCTTTCTCTAAAAATGTTATTTTCCGGTCTAGCCAATAAATGCACCACTTATCTCTAAAATCTTCTCCATACCATTCATGTTATCTCTGCAATGGTTATCCCATCCTTGATGCTATAGCAATAGCCAAAGCCATTGCTGTCAAATGGTACACTGTAATTGGCAGCACAGAGATAAATGAACAGCCCTTTTAACCCAAAACTTGAAAAAAGCATCTTCAAGCAGATCTCTGCTTCCCAGAGTAGGGCTTGACATCATCCCCAGTGTGGGCTGTCCAGCATGTGCTGCTGAAGTCTGAGTTGCTAAATGGTGAGCATTTCAAAATATCAAGCTGCTTGTTAGGGAGCGTAAGTGTGGAGCTTTAGAAGCTTAGCTATAAGCTTGTGTTTTGAAAAAGCTTTACAGTGTGGCATATTGTGCAGGGAAGGGGAAGCCATTGTCTCCTGCTGCTGCAGTCATTAACAGTAGCCAGCCCTGGGTTTGAAGGAACCTCCCAAGGTGAGGGAGGGATAAGAGAGTAAGCATTTTCTCTCTGTGTTGTTCTGGTGCTGGAACACATTGGTACAATTCTTTATGGCTTCAGTAAGAATGCAGAACCTTTAGTTATTTCCTTGTTCATGCTAAAAATATGTTTTCTCCTATAAAAATTATGTTTATCTCTCGGTTTCCCCTCTCGGCAACCATAATAGGGGAGCCTTTTGCATGATTTGCATCCCATATTCTGCTGACTCAGGCTGCTTGGATGTCTCAGCTTTTGAAAGTGCTAGAATGGGTCAATGGCATCTCTAGGTACCTGTCCTGGCTCATGTGGATTCTTGATAGCAGGGAGCAAAGGGGAAGGTATTTGGAGGTGATATGAAGCAAGCAGACACATAGCTTCCCCTCCCCTACATTGCGTTTTTGTTCCAAATTTCTCCCTCCAAGAATGGCTTTAAAAAAAAAAAGCAGTATCTGGCTTTATATGTACATCAGCATGTACTTGCAGTTAACCCCTCAAAACTGGTGTTGGCACTTCTCGACAGCAGTGATTACTGAACAGTCCTGTGCTTCCACCTTGCCACTAGTTCCAACATAAGCAGTAAATATATTACAAAGCCCCCGAGGAACCACTTCCCAAACGAACCTGAGAAATGTTGATTCCATGCAGTTGATACCTGTGGCATAGCACATAGCAAGTATTTGTGGCTGATTTGTGTAGCAGCAAGAGGGACTGTCATCTTGATTATAGTGCAGTCACACTCGTACAAAGCAGCACATCCTCCCGATCTGTAGTCATACTGCTCTATTCCTACTCATCTGGTGGCAAGTTCCACTGAAATCAGTGGCGCTTACATCTGAGTATGTGTGGATAGGACTGCAGTGGAAGGCTGTCATCTCATACTCACTTGCCGCAGAGTAAACCCTAGTCAATTTAGTGGGACTCAAATCTAAATAGGCATGTATAGGATTCCATGGCAAAAATAAAACCACAGTATGGCATGCTATTAACATTATATGAAGGACCATTTCACAGTCTTTACCTTTGTCCTTTTAAATTTAGCTTATGGCAAAGACCCCATGACTTTGGTGTTTGATTAGCACATGCCTGGAGAGGCATGCTCACTAGTTTCTAGCTAGTCTCCTGCACAGAAAACATGTTTGCCTATTTTATTTGTACCTCACCAAGGAAATGACACTTGAGGGGGCTTCTCTCTGCCTCCTTTTATACCAGTTTGTGTATGGGGATGCCCAGAGCATTGCACATGCCACAAAATATACAAAGAGTGCACATTTTGTTATACAGAAGTGATACTGATATATGAAGTCTTTCCTGTGTGCAGCAGCTCTGAGTGGAAAGGACTTGCAGATGCAGGCCTTGCTCGGATGGTTCCCATCCACTGGTGCAGATTTTTCCACTTGTTGGTTTTACTGTGGCTGAGACTGTGCTGAGAGCTGTTTATGGAGAAGCAAGAGCAGTTGGAAGTTCAGTGTTGCTATTTTTAGTAAAATGCCTGAAAAGGGAAACGAGAGCGGGACTGAGACAGAGGCAAACAGAGATGCCTTGGAGCATCTCTGCTTATTGGGACTCTTTAAATTCGAGCCATGGAAATGGCAGGGCAAAATGTTCCATAGTAGCTAAAGTCATCTCTCCTCACATCACAAGTCATCTCTTGTGCCTAAAATGATGCTGCTTTAATGACAGTCTTTTGATGCTTTGTAATCCAAACCTGCTTTTTTAAAAAATATATAGTTGATTTGTGTATTTAAGAAAAAGAATGGTAAATATTCTTCTGAATAAATGCCTAAATGTCTGGTGGTAAATTTTGAAGTGCAAAGGTTTAACTTACACCCAAGGAGAGTCCAAACTTGTAGGCAGCTGTGTTGATCAGTATCAACAAACAGATTCTACCAATTTACATCTTTGCCAGAAACAGATCTTTGGCAATGCTAATGGATGGAAATGGCCCATTCAAGAACAAGCCATGCAGCTGGCTTTCATTATATTGGGGAATCATATGTGGCTTTGGCCCATGATCTGATGCATATTTCACCCACACACACACAAAATAAATTCCTAAGAAATCTCCAGGTGTGCATCTTCACTTAATCAACCACCTGTACAAACTCACTTAAATCACCATGGAATATTGGAGCAGTGGGGAGTGCGCTGCAGGCAGTTTTAAAATGTTAATACAGGAGCATTGCATTCTTTTTCTGTCTCCAGGAGTATTTTATATTGGGATGTTAGTCATCTGACTGGATGACTCCTATACAGTCTCTTCCTCTCTCCGCAAAATCTAGCACCTTTAGCATTAGCTTGTTTTACTGTGATTATCCTGATTGCGTGAAGCATCCAAACTAATTACAAGGAAGTTGCATCTATCAGGTAAGCCTGTCTGGCCCAGAATCATCCACTTGGACCAGCAGTGTCTCTCCAGGCTCTTAGACTGAGGCCAGTCCCATCATCTGCTCCCTGATCCTTTTCTAAGGAGATTTCAGTAATTGAACTAGAGTGTTTTTGCAGGAAACACATGAAATTATTGTTTCTTATTAGGAATAGGCATCAGTGGTATAGTCGAGCCTCATACTCCAGATTTGCCTCATGCTCCAGATTTCTACCCCCACCTCAGCTGCTATATACCGTAGAAAAAAAACTTGCAGGCCTAACTTTTTTTCCTCCTCTGTGGCTAATACCAACTGCAAGGAGGCAATTTAGGGCCTTGGTGCCATTAATATTTTATGGTGCTTATCCAAATCAGGGCGCACCAGGGACCAATCATAAAGCTGGCATGATTAGGGAGCATTCCTATTGATTGCACCTTGATGCTCACTTTCTGAGCTCAGAAACTTGCATGCAACCAATGCAGAGCTGGAGGAGCAGCAGAGGTCATCTCTGCCTCTTCCTTCCTCCCACTCTGCAGTTCCACTGCAAGGCTACTTTGAGCTATCTAGCCAAGGTGCTTCATAAAGAGAGAAAAGGAGACTGGAGCACCATCAGTCTCTTTCCTTCCCTGCCACCGTCCCTTGATTTCCTGTTCCTGAGAAGTAATCAGTGCTTTTCTTGCTGTGCTGGCTGCAGTGGGAGGAGGAGGATTGGAGCATGGATCCTCAGCACTGAGCTCTCTCTCTGACCTCACTTTGGGGAATCCCAAGTATACAGTGAGCCAGGATAGTGTAATGGTTAAGAGTGCAGGACTTGGACTCAGGGGATCTGAGTTCTAGTGCTCATTCATCCAACTGGGAGACTTTGGGCTAGTCATAGACTCTCAGCCCAACATTCTTCACAGGGATGTTGTGGGAATAAATATATATATCTCCTGTGGCCTCCTGGATTCTGTCTAGCACTCATAGGCTTGTTCTCTTAATGCATAATAATTTTAATCTTCTGAATAACAGATTAAATTAAATAAACAGAATTCTCTGGGAAAGCCAACATAATGTTGGATGTTGTTTATGCAAGCTACAGATTCCTTCCTTGATGTCACTGCATCATTTACAGAGGTCTTATTAAGCTGATTTTATTTTAAACCTAAATCTTTTATTCATAAGATTATGAATAATAATCTTATATGAGTTGTAATGTATATTATACATAACAGAAATTCATGTAATTTAATTTGTTCATGATGAGTTGCTTCTTTAAGCCAACTTCTATTTTTGTGTTGCTTTTCTCATTAGGTGAGGCTACAGTAAAGAAGAAACGAACTCCAAAGACTCCACCTAAAGCAGGTATTGATTTATAATGTACTAGAAATACTTCCCCTCCTCCTTCCCCATTGATCAGGACACAGGTTTTCTACCTAAAGGGTTTAATTAGATTAAAGCTGATCAGCTGGGCTGGCTTTGTAGTACAAAAGCAGAGTGTTGCAGAAGTCAATAGCAAAAGGAACCAGCAAAGTTAGAATATTGGGCTGTTAGATAGAGGTGACTTAATGGTAAGTTGATTCCAAACTGAATCCCTCTCCTCCTCAACTGAAAAGAGGAAACCACACTTTCAAGGTGGGTCCTCCTCCTAGCAATTCCTAATCGGCACTTTCAGGGCCGATTGCTAGGAATGTCTGAGGCTTCTCAACTGTCTACCCTCCTAACTTAATGCCATGTCCTCAGCTTAGGGCCAGTGCTCTATACTCTGTACAGCTTAGGGCCAGTGCTCACTAAAGTTTCCCACAGAATGTGAAACTGATTCCCAGTGACTGCCTGGGTAACTCTGGGTCCATTGGCTTTGGCATTTCAGCTACAGATTCTGGCCCCACCTTTTCATCTGACTCAGAATTTGATTCTGTTTACTTGGAAGGCTCTTTTATAAGAGGAGTGGGACCAATTTCTACAGGAAACAATGAACTATCTTGCAAGACTTGTTTGATACCTTTCTTTACTATCCTTGTTATTTGCACCCATTTGAAAGATTTGTGAGGTGTGGCTCAGACCAGCATTTATTTAATTAAAGCCTGTTTACTTCACTCTTTGAGAAAGGCCAGAAGGTCCCCAGAGTGCTTACATAACGTGAATAAGGAGTTCCTGCCTGCCCACTTACTATATAAACGACATGAGGCAAAAGCAAAGGGGGAAAGGGGAGAAAAGGCAAAGTCAGCAGTAAATTCTTAAACTATAGTTCTTATACTGACCAATAAACACTGGAATGGAAATAGTTCTGGGAGGACACCCAGCTGGAAAGACAGTGTGCCCCTGCTTCCTCTGACACCCTATTTGAGAAGACAGGTCCAACAGAGCTAGTTTTTCAGGAGATTTGAGGCTGTAGCCTTGTTTCCCTTCTGCCTTTGTGCTTCAGCTTCATGGAATCTCTTGGCTAACTCTTGGTTACCTCTTTAGCTGTTCTGGTTATTGAGCATTTGGTGGTATCAATACTGAGGCTTTTACCTACGCATACAACAGAAGACCAGGTCAAAGATTATTCAGTTTTTTCTGTTTTTGTAAAAATATGATAAAATGCAATGTACAGCTTTCTCTGGTACAAATGCCCTCATACCAAACCAACTTGGGTTTCACCAACTATAATATTGTCCGTCAACCATCTCTTATGCCAGCCTGAGAAGTGTTTACTTGCCATTCTGTTGTTTACAGTCTTCAAAAGTTAAAAAACCCAGATATTTGAATGGGATTTTGGAAGGGTCCAGAAAATAGCTAAGACTAGAGATTATTGAGGTGTCCCAAGCTCTATTTTGAGTAACTTGGAAATTGACTTTCCAAGTTACTCACACACACACACACACACAGAGCGAGTGAGAGTGCCTGCCACAGCTATAGAGCAGTTGGAGGGATTAAAACCAAAGGAGGAGCCCTTCCTCAATAGAGGACACTTCTAACTACATGGTTCTCTGTGATGGGGTGTGTTTCCCTCCCAGCCGTCTCCCCTGCTCTTCCAAGCACTGCCAAAGAAGCCAGCTGATTCCTGGAGAGCCCTGCAGGGCATCTCTAAGGCTGAACAGGACTTGCTGCTTTGGCAGCTGATGATTTAGGATGCCCACAGAACTGTTGTAGTGTATGATTGTGAGCAGCTAAAGCTTTCATCCAGGACACACAGATTTCACTTGGGTAGCGGAGAGCTGACAGCATACGATGTATGTCAGCAGAAAGCTGGCAGTTCTTTCTCCACTTGGAGTTTAACCAAGAACCAGAGACGAATTTGAAGGCTTGTAAAATTTGATGCTTCTTTGAGCTGGGGGATCTTGCAAGCCTGGCTGAAAAGAACTTTTAGTAGTATTTCTACTTGGGACCCAAATTCAGCAAGCTGTTCAGTAGAGGCAGAAACATTTCATGAATGAACCTGTGGACAGGATACTAGATTTAGTTTTGGAACACTGGATGGATAACCTGTTCCCATTTATTGCATACAAAGTGCCCATGATAACTTCAATATGTCAGTAAGTGTAGAGAGTGATGTTGGAAGCAGCTGTACCTCAAAAGAAATGGGGAAAGGAAGGCCCATGTGGACAAAAAATATTTTTCCACACACCTGAAGTTACATGGAATGGCAAGGGAGAAGGAGGGGCTTGCTCCTTTCCAAGAAACATAGCCTCTAAAAAGTCCCTCTTTTTTTAATCAGTTCTTCCACCTCAGATTGTTCAGTTCCCAGAAGACCAAAAAGTGCGGGTTGGCGAATCCGTGGAACTGTTGTGCAAAGTAGCAGGAACTCTACCCTTAACGTGTACCTGGATGAAATTCCGCAAGCAGGTAGTCCAATCCTTGTTGCTGTTCTTTTCATCATGGGTTGTGTGGTGAAAGGTGGGATCTCAGAAGAACATGTGCAGGTGTGAAGTGTTAATGAAGTCCGATAATGATATTTTTCCCATACAGCCAAATGCCAGATGCATAAAAGAAATTATATACATATTCATCAGCTAGGGCAAGCCTTTCATATGATGAAAAAAACCACGTTGGTAACAATAATTGTAGCATACATATCCATGCTGAATATCACTGCTGAGTCAGTGTGGGGGTGATGCCTGACATATGGATGGTTTGAAAATAACTTTGTTTTCTTGGGAGAGAGGCCCAGGCTACACAAGCCATTAAATATGTCACCTGTACTTTCACAAAGGTAGAAAGCATGTGCTGTGCCTCCCTATGAAGATTGGGGTTGTGGAAATGGGGGTTCATTTGCTTTCTTCTCAGCTCACTTCTAATGAAAATCTCTAATCTGTGGGAAAGATTTTTACACCTTTCTTTAGCTGAGCAAAAATTAAACCCAACCATCTGCAGATGGGAACAGGAGTGATACTATATTAACAGGATTGGGATTTGAGATTAGGAAACTAGGTATGGAATCAGTGCTAGAAAGTGGGTTTCTTTCCCACCATCTGGGAATTCTTACCTTGTAAATCCATCCGGCTTTGCTGCCTTTGAAAACATTTTGAGTCAGACAGCCCTTTGCCATGTGTATTAGTCAATAATTCTGCTTGTGAACTTCTTCTGGATGACTTTTGCAGTTTTGCTGACACTGTATTTGGTATGTTTTGTAAGTCCTTTTGATTTCTGTAATGCTGTGTTTTTAGCATTTTGTTCATCTTCGCTACCTTGAGTTGTTCAGCTTTAAGCTTAAAAGTCATGATAGAAATATCTGTCATAAATATATAGATCTAGGCACGAAAGCAGAAGGAAGGTGCTAGCTCCTAGGCAGCCAAGATGCCTTCTGTCTGCCTTGGGCTCTCTTGCTGAGTCCTAGGCCTCACCCATGGTAGATGAGCAAAACCAGCTGATCAGATCCAGTATCCTTGAAATCCCAACGATCTGTTTGGACAAGTGGCAAGCTCATACATTCCTGCCTCAATGTCATTTTCTGTTCTTGCCACAAGTTGGTACATTCATGAAACCACATCAGCATGCCAGAAATTATCCAGAAAAAAAGAAGAGTTCCCCCGATAAAGCGTTTACTGTACAAAAAATGTTTTATATAGACAGCATCTTTCCCTGGTAAGAGTCTGGAAATGATGCCTGATGCATATGTTTAGTTTTCTTTTGCTGCACTGAATCTGAATTAAGATTTCCTGATTGCCATGCCATTTCAGCTCCTCTAGTATGTAGCAAAGACAAAATAATGTTTATTGAAAATTAAATGTATAGCTTATCTTTCCTCCTGAGACACTGAGTTTTTATTAGTAGTCCTGCAGGTTTAGCTGTGTGTGGCTACTTGCTAAATTGACAAGTCTCAAGATTATGGCAGGAAAAGCCAAATTATTTAGACTTCCCTTTTAATGAAGCTCTGTGAATAAGCTGGAGAAACTTATCTAACAGGTAATGCAGCAGGGTGAGGGAGGTCAGTGTCTTTACTATTTACTTTCAGGTGTGGAAAACACTATCTTTTTTTTAATGCTTAAAATAAAGTGTGTGCCTTTTTGTTGGTGTCTTGACCAAACTTCATGAACATCCAGTTCAAAATATTGTTGACATTTAGTGCTGCGGTTCTCATCTTGGCTCCATGGAAAAATAGTTCAAAGCACATTTTGCACTGACAAAGTTCATTTTAGTCCTCTGAGAATGGGTAGAGTTCCATATCTTTGTTTCTGTTACAGTGCAATTTGATTTATTCTATCTAGTTTGGAAAATTGAAGCATTTGCTGTGGCTTTTTATTTTAATCCACAGGTAAAAGCACAGACTGCTCTTTCTGAGAAGGCACTCTTCAGATGTGCTGGACTGTAGTCACTATCATCCAAAATCAGTACTGGGATGCTGATGATGGGAATTTTAGTCCACATCTGGAGGGTGCTACGTCAAAGGCTGGAACTGATTGCTTTTTAAAAGGCATTTTTGGCTTAATTATATTCTGTGCTCTATTTCTTATTATGAGACTAATATTTATATGCATAGTATTCATATACCCATTACTCACTAATTATTAGAATTGCTTCTCATGGGCAATATATACTGACTGGGTGTATGTGTGAGTTGAATAACTTGCTTACCTCACTGGTAAAAAGCACCGGTGCACTCCAGCAAGCATGAACACTGCAGGAAGTGTGTCAGGTTGAATCTGTGTTTTTCTTCACAGATGCTCTTGAATGGGCCTTCCTGAATTTTCAGCTGTGGCCAGAATTCATGGGCTGCTGAGCTCCTGCTGATTCCATTCTGCAAGAACACCCACTGTTTCTGCAGAAGAGATTTAGCACTTCCAGAAGTAACTGCAAATGAATTAAAATGCTAATTTCTGGAATGGAGCAGGTCAGCTGGGCTCACATAAGGGAGTTCTGGCAGTCTCTCCCAGGCCAGAAGGAGTGTTTCCACTCATTTTGATGAGTCTTCTAAGAAGTGTTGAATCCTGCTCAACAAAATTGAAGGGAGGTGTCTCTTGTGGTACCAAATCAGCAGGGCCACAGTACCCTGCTGGATACCACCCACGGATAAAACCTGACAGTTCTAACTAAGGAGGTCTCACAAGTTCTAGAGAAGTAAACACTACTGCAGTGTAGTATCTGAACAAGGCCTAAAGGAGCTGATTGGATGCTCCTTCCCCCTTTTCATCTTTCTGCAAATTATTCTGGCAACATGCCTTCCCCCATGTCTGTTCCCCACACCAACCACCCTAGTCTTTAGAAGTAAGAGGTAGAACCCAGGGACTTTGTCTTCTTTTGAAATATAGGTTCTTAGTTCTGGATATTGAATTATTTATGTGAGTGCAGTACCTAGTATAAAGGGAGTTCCTGTGAGACATGAAATCTTTCAGTTAGGACTTTCACTGCTTCCATATTTGCCCTCCCACTCCTTGAGATCGGCAGCAGAGGCCCTCCTCTGGGAGAGACATCAAGAGGCAAAGTACCCGGAGGAGGGCTTTCTCTGCGGTGGCGCCCCATCTATGGAATGCACTCCCCAGAGAGGTCCGCTTGGTGCCATCGTTATTTGCTTTTAACAACTCTTAATATCTATAGGTTTTGATTTTGCAGCCAGGATGATTCTGGGTTTTTAATTGTATTTTACTATGTATTATGTTTATTTTATGTGAGCCGTCCTGAGGCTATAAGCGATGGGTCAGCATACAAAAATTCTAAATAAATAAATACTATTACACAAAGAGCACGTGTGCTCCAGGTCCTCCTCGGATCCTAAAATCACCATTCATAGTGATAGAGCAGGGAAAAATAATCTCCGCTAAGACTTCAACCAATTGCAGCGATGGTGTGGATACTGTTCTTATGACATTACTGAAATCTGTTTACTTTACTTGAAAGAGTTTACAAAGTTAAGTGTTGTAAATGAGGTTGTCAATATGTTTAAGTGAGTAAACCATTAAATGTTAATTTGTGCTAATTCTGATTATACTTGAAAAGGACCTTCAGATTTCAAAATATTAGATATTTATTGATTTTACAAATTACTTGTGCTTTTGGTCAGTCTTGCTTTTTCTGCTATTATTCATTTTCTGAAAAAGACATAGTATGTTATGGTCCTAAATGTTGAACAGAGTCGGTAGGATGGTCAAAACTATTCCTCCCTGTATAACTCCCTAATAGATTTCTAGCTAATGGGTTGGGAACAGCATATGGTATGACAGGAGATTCTTGAATGCGGCTCCAAGGAATTTGAAACCAAACTTAATACAGTCTTAATAGGAAAAACGGATTGGTATACCTAGGCAAACATACTTTTTCTCCTATTAATATGTCTGGCAAGTCCTGGTTCACTTTTTAGTTTAAGTTTTCTGAATACCTGTTTTAATCTACCTGTTTAATTTGACAGATCCAAGAGAATGAGCACATCAAAATAGAGAATGCCGAGAACAGCAGTAAGCTAACTATCTCTTCCACGAAGCAGGAACATTGCGGATGCTATACTTTAATGGTAGAAAACAAGCTGGGCAGCAGACAGGCCCAGGTCAACCTCACGGTTGTAGGTAAGTGCACTAGATTATTATTATTTTTTGTCTTCTGTGTTGCTGGAGCATGTCTATATCCTGGTTTAAAGCACATAAGCTTTTAAGTTTCAGGTTACTGATGAAAATTTTATCAGTGACCTTACAAGAAAGCAAGGCAACAGTTTGGAGAACAATAATTATCTAATAAAGACATGTTCTCAGTTAAGAAATTAGAAATTGCCTTTTACTGACCAGCATCTTTATATTTAACTTGAACCTGTGCTGGACAATTGCCTGGAATTTTTAACTTTCTCTAATTACATCTTTAAATGCCTTATTGTGCTGCTGATCAGTAGCAACCTTAGAAAAACTTTTGGGTTTTTTTTCACAATAATGGCTTTTGCAAGATCAGATAGAATCATCTATATTTAGCAAACAGATGAACTGAACTTTGACATATAGACATCAGTGTCTTGCACGATTGACAGACACAACTTTAACATCCTGTAAGCCTTTTGTAACACCAGTTTTTAGGCCAGACTCAGGACAGCCAAGTAAAGAGCGCAGAAGTTTTTCAGATTGTGGTGGGCATGTCGTGAGCAGTTCCGGCTGGAGCCGGGGGTCAGACTAGGTGGCCCGGGAGACCCCTTCTGATTTGCTCTATGTTTCTACGAATATGAGAAAGAGGTATACATGCCAATCAAAAATCCATAATTTCAACTTATCACACTCATTCTATTGCATGATCATCAGGCTTCCTATTAGAAGCTAATACGCAATGTTTCAGTGGACCATGGGCATAAGGGTGTTTTTGGCTTGCCACAGCTTGTTTCCCCTTTTGCTGTTTTTTTTCTACCAGACATTACAAAAGCTAGCTGCAAACCTGTTTTTCCTGCTTTCCAAAGTGGCTTAGTACATGATTCTCTCTAGACACAAGAAAACAAACAGTTGCATCAGTTTGAATGACATGACAACCTGTAGGTTTTTGGGTGACTTGTTGCCACAAACTGGTCATCCTGGGAAAATTGGTCTGGGTTTGCATGACATGTTAGTGTTCTGTTAGTAGCAATCCAGTCTGTAAAACATTACAAATTGATGTGAAAGCAGATGGATGAAAAATGAGAAAATGCTGGTAAACTTGCCCTACACTTAATACTTTATATATCCCTTGCCCCCAGATGGCTGAAATACTTCCCTACCCATCTTAATTGTGGGCTGGGACCACTGACAGATTTCAGCTTAGCAGTAAAATTTACTGGGTATTACAAAAGCAAGTTCTATCATGAAGGACAAAGATCAGGAACATCTATAATGAAACAAAGCAAAACTAAACTACACAGTTTATGTTTGTTTTTTAAATGATTGTTAGATATTAATGTTCTTCCTCTAGTGAGTTTCACTCTTATTGCTAAGCCTGATCTTAGGGTTGAAAAAGTGCTAGTAGCTTGATCTTTGTCTCTGGGCAGAATTCTAATGTTTTATGTCTTCCATTTGAGCATAACAATAGATACAATTCAATAGTATTACCATTTTCTCACATGTCTGCCAAGGTAGATTTGACCTATTGAAAAATACTGAGGCCAGAAGAGTAAAATGTTCATGCAGTCTTGCTAATTGCTATACTTTAAATTCTTATCTAAGAGTCTTTCATTTTTACTATATTGCTGGTTTCTGAGACTCAAAACTCCTTCAGTGTTATATGCATATCAAAGCATATTATGTTTTGCCTATAAGCTGTACACTTCCTCACAGCTCTATCCTTACAAAGATCACATACACACTTGTGCAGAAGCCAGAAGGTTATAATCATACACAATCCTGACAATTGCAAATGGTGCATTAAAATGATACACAGGAGCTCTTCTAGAGAATTAAATGTGGAATTAAAATCCAATGTACTCAGAATACTAAGAGAAGATTCTGTTTGATGAGCAGAAAGTTCTGTTTACTGCATGAACTGATAGCTATGTAAAGAAGTATCCTGTAGTTCTGCTAATAACCAGGCATGCCCATTTTTTCTTCTCTAAGTCCATGTTTATACTTAAGAAAGAATATATTAACATCTCTGTGGAATAATGTCTTTAAATTAAAGCCCTTTCCTCCCTTGGAAATAGAAGCTGCACAATGTATGTCTCTGTGTGTTTTTCAGTGAAAGCAGAGTGGTTTACAGTGACCCCTGAGCCCTGAGAGCGGTGATGCAGAGTTCAGTTATGGCCTTTTATGGTTTCATTTTTCTCCCACAGATGAACCTCAAGTGCAGGCTTTGCCAGCAATGTCGGCATGGACATCATCCAACAGGCTTTAGCAGTATATTAAATACCTTCTCTGGCTAAACAGCCTAGCCCATGGAAAGGAATTAATTGTTGCTTTATGTCTGCTCTTCATCTGGCAGGAGAATATTGCAACAGCTAATAATAGTGTGGAATGGTAATATGAGAACCCTCATTAAAAAGTAGCCAAGGTAGCTAGCGATCACTACCTTGAAGAGGATGCTTCTTTTTTGCAACAACTCTTCCGTTTTCCATCATGGCAGTTTCTCTGAGTGTAGGCCTCCCTGTAGCCTTTATGTTTGTCAGTACTCTGAAGCTGTAAGCTGAAGTAGCAAGCTTTCTGCAGCTAATTTAGAAAGAGGGCCTATACAAGGACACACCACATATAAACATCCAAATTACTACACAAATTGTATTTCTACCCCTTCTGTGTAACAAATGCTTCTTGTGACACATACCTTTCCTCCTGTAAGCAGCACATCCATCAGTCTGAGCATGCTGGGATGCATGTGGCAAAACGTGTGGGACTGCCTCTTGCACTAGGCACAAAGGTTCAGTTGCAATGAAAAGGGCCTTCATAGCTAAAGGTTCACTTACACATTTATAGTGAGTGCATCTAAGGGAGAGCTTTAAACTCTAGTCCACTCTCCAACATGTGCTGAAAAAATTCAGTAAGATGTGACATGCAAGCACACAATTCACCATGTCTAAGGTGGTGCAGCCCCTTTTCTGAGTGCTTGATTCAGCTAAATAAGCACAAGCACTTTAAAATTGCTAGCTATGCTTTCCAATGTTGACCCCATTTGCTTCATACTGTGGTTGTGGCTTGCAGACCACACAGGAAATTAATTATGGTGCGTTGGAATGTATGTGGATGTTTATTTGGGAAAGTGGTATGCAACATAGAAATGGAGTATGGGATTGGCATGATATGCACACTTACATGTGAAATCCAATATGGAAGTTTGCTTCATCCATTTAGGCCATGACGACCACTAGCAAATGCTAGAGTCAGCATAAACATTCCTTGAGGGTGTAGACCTCATGCAACAGCCCTCCTCAGCCTGGAGCCATCCAGAAATGTTGGGCTATAATTGTCAGGATTCATGACTAGTGGCCATGTTGACTAGGGCTGATGGTAGCTGAAGCAAAACTTTTGGAAATTAGCAGGTCAAGGATAGTACAGGGACAGGTTTTGCTTCTGCATTATATAGGATTGATTATAGTTTTCAACCAACTCTTATTTTTAGCCTATTTAAAGTCTGTAAGTAAAACTGTAGTTTCACCAAAGTGAGTTTTCACACAATCATTTCAACAAATGGAAGTGCAGCTAAAAGTTGAATTGAAACAAAACATTAAAACCCAGCAGTGTTCCTGTTGGCCATAGAGCCTTGTGTGACTCATTATGCAGTAAATATGGTCAGGATATACTAGGTTTACCAGCAGTAGATTTACTATACTTTAGTAAACTATGGGGGCCTTCCCGCAGTTATACAGGCATGTCTGAGCATGAAACACATTTCTGTGTGTCTTTTTTTGGTCCACAGATAAACCTGATCCTCCTGCAGGCATGCCTTGTGCATCTGACATCAAGAGTTCTTCCCTTACTCTCTCATGGTACGGCTCCTCATATGATGGGGGAAGTGCAGTGCAAGCCTACACAGTGGAAATCTGGAACACAGTGGACAAAAAATGGACTGATCTCACTACTTGTCGTAGTACTTCTTACAATGTCCAGGACCTGCTGGCTGACAGGGAGTACAAATTCCGGGTGCGAGCTGCTAATGTGTATGGGATGAGTGAGCCAAGCCATGAATCAGAGTTGGTAAAAGTGGGAGCCAAGCAGGAAGGTAAGTCTTTGCCACATGGAGATTTTGGTTGAGTGTGTTTGCCATGCAGCCCCCGGTTTCATGTGTTTTAAGTATAGATTTATGCCCAGTTCATTACCAGCACATGTGTTTCAGAAATACTCATTTATTCAACTTATGTACCCTATAGCCGAAACTGTCTGGTCAGTTTACAGATTACAAATGGCAGTGTATGAAAATGGCACCTATGCTGTTGCATTGCTCAGGTGATTTGAGGGCCCAGGCCTTTTTCATGGAAACACCAGGATGCTATGAATCCTGTGTGTGTGTGTGGGGAGAGGGATTCATTGAATCAAACTGAATTTCTCATACTAATGTTGGATACAACCGTAACTACAGTGCCTGTCCTACAGCAGCTCTCCTGAATAGCCAGGCTCTCATTAGGTGCTAAAAGAAAGAGCAGTGACTGAGCCAGGCAGCCTTCTATTGGGCTGACATTCCACAGTGATGGCACCAGAGCTGGGAAAGCCCTGTCTCTGTTGCCCAACCACTTGCCTCTGAACGTGGGGGAATGGAGCAGGGCTTCAGCTGTGGACTAAGCACTTATGGAATGAATCTGCAGCTACCCTGGCCTCATCTTTTTTGGGCTTTCCAGGTTGTTTATTTAAAAGGTGTATACCACTCAATTGTGCCACAACACCTCTGTTCACACCAACCCTTTCAGTTGGATGGATTTAAAAAGAATTGGACAAATTCTTGCTCTACTGGGTCCCAAACTTTTCCCATATGTTGGACCTTTTCATCCTTATGACTGCTTTGTTCCATTGCCCAGTGTTGTTGTTCTCTGTCCTCCTAAATGGGGCTCTGAGAGATTTCAGCTTACTTGTGCCCACATCTGATTTGAAGCAGGGGTGCCCAGATTAAGAACCTATCTTCTTATCCTATACCAACCACTTTAATTCCATTTCCTCACTAGAAAGGCATAGCCAAGCTATGAAAAGTAGGCATCATTCTGATCTTAAACCACTGGCTGCACCTGGTTATGGAGCTGTAGCATGACAAGTCAGAAGATAAGAGATCATTGTAGAATCTTCTCCATGACAATGAGGGCAGTGAAGAAATTGCACTTTTCTGCCACCACCGCATTTGCACAGGGTCAACTAGCAAATGTTGGTCAGAATCCAGTTCTTTCTTGCCTTCGAGATGAAAAGAAAGATAGCTCAGTATTCTGCTTTGGCCGATTTGCTCTACACTTTGTAGATAAAATTTATTGTATTCATGCAAACTGGGATGCTGTAGTTGACACATTCTGTAACTTGAGTCCCTGCTTCTCCAGTGGCAATGGATCCATTCAATTCATACAGCCCAAGGATGTGGACAGCATCCTTGGAAAAGTGAGGCACACCACTGACATGCTTGACCCTTCCCATCTCTGGCTTGTAGAAGCAGACACCTGGGGATGGGACTGGATAAGTTGGTAAACTTAGTGGTTGCAACCACTTTATGGCAAAGTGTGATTCCATCTTGTATAACAAAGACAGTGGCAAAACCTTCATTAAAAAAAAAAAAAAAACCTTCCTGGACCTCGGTGTATTAGATAATTTCTGGATGTTTTGTAACACTCTGTTTTTAGCAAGGTGACAGAGCATTTGGCGGCTTCTCAGTTCTATGGATTTCTGGATGTCTGTCTAGATCCATCAGTCTGGCTTTGGGCCTTGTTTTGGGACAGAGACTGGTTGGGTTGCCTTTTTGGATCACCTGTGCTGGGAACTAGAATGAGAAATGTGTCTTTGCTGGTGTTGCCAAACATCTTAGAGTCTTCCAGTGATAATTTTATTGGGCATCTATCTGAGAAAGGAGTTGGAGGCACTGTTACCTGGGGACTCCTTCTTGGAGGCAAAATCTCAAAGTGGTCCTGAGGAATTCCTCTTTGATGTCATATCCAAATCCAAGGAAGCTGCTCTATTCTAAATTGGTGTCTGATGTTAAGAATAGCAAACAAATTGAAATAAAGCACAAAAATTAAAGCTTAGCTCAGGCAAGACAGAGTTGATCTGTCTGGTTAGTTTAGGATATAAATATTTGGGGAAAAACAAGGTAAAAAAATGTGGAAAAGACTCCCCCCCCCCCCCGACTCTAGGTTAGTCAAAAGGTAGATCAGGGAACAGGGATTCAAACTGCAATGGGTGTACTTCTGGACTTGGCCATGTTGAGGTTTTGCTGGTAAACATGAGTGTGTCGTTGCAGCCAAAACTAGTGTGGCAACTGCTCCCATTCCAAGAGATTATCTATCTGGCCGTGGTCATATAAAACTTAGTTATATTGGATTAGTGTTTGGATTACTCCATGTGGAATTGCCTTCAAAAACTTAAGCTGGTTCAGAATGCTGTGGCCAGTCTGTTCATGGAGCGTGTGGGTCCTTTGTTACAACTGTTTCATGGGCTACCAGTCTGTTCATGGGCAGAATTCAACTGTTTATGACCTAGAAGGCCATGTGTGGCTTGGAACCAGACTGTCTGAAATACCACTTTCTCCTACATGAGCCTGCCCAGGTCCTAAGATGTTCAAGGAAGACCTACCACTTGTGTGCTGGAAGACTCACTTGAAACACAGTCTTTCAAGACTACCACTTTGAGAGGCACATTTAGTGGCAACATGAGACAGAGACTTTTGGAGGTGCATTCCTAGGTTGTGAAACATCCTGCTAAGGGAGGATAGGGTTGCTCCTGCTTTGCTGTCATTCCACTGGTAGGCAAAGACCTTGGCGTGTAAGCAGGTCTTTTGCGTTGGATGGTGCTTTTATTCTGTTACTGTGTTTTTAATTGCATTCAATGCATTTTTAAATTGTCATAATTAAAGGTTATTTACAATTATAAGCCATAGTGAGTGTCATTTTTATTGGTAGAAAAGCAGGGTACAAATCAAATCAATTAATGAACAAACTAAATGAGAAGAGCAGAAATATCCTAAATCATATCTTGACAGACACTCACATATTGCAAGCAAGGAGTAAAAGGGGCCATGTGAATAGATATGTGTAGAGTTAGTCAGAGTGTAGCGAGTGGGCCAGTCTCTTCCTCACTCCTGGCTGTGCAGTGGAAGTCATCAGGTTCTGAAGTGGAGGTGCAGGAGCAGGAGTAGTGACCCTTTTGTGGCTCCTTCAAGATGTCTAGAGAAGTTTCTCACTAATTTGGAAGAGATGGAAGAATTTCCGGGAGGGGAGGGGGAGCAGATGTGGGAACTAGTCCTTGACCCAGGAGAGTCAAAGAGGCGTCAGGAGAGATGAGCTGTTCAGCTGGAGGGGCTCCGTTGTTCTCTCCATATTGCTCTCCAATAGCAAGAGCCCCATCCCACCCCCCAGTGGAGCCAGCAGCCCTACTGAAAGGAGGGAATGAAGGGAAGTTTTCAGGTTGGATTCAACTCTTTACATAGCTTCTCCTTCCAGCTTTGGAAAAAAGGTTATTTAGAGCTAACATGTTTTGTTAACTGTGGAATGCCAGTAAAAGAACTGCATTTCAAAGGACTGTGTTGAGTTTTAGAACCCAAGGAAAGGCAGAAAAGGACTAGCTCACAAGATTTAGTAGGCTGGGAGAGTGCTGAAAAGCTCCGTTTCTGTTTTTTAAAAGGAGATTCAGGTGTCCTCTCCATACCAGCTTTCTAACATTTAGCCAACAGCATTGGATTATGTGTTCCTATTCAGTATTCCTGTTTTTAAATACATTCTATGCATATTATTTTTTTAGGTTCAACTAACTCCAGTATAACCAACCACAAAACATGCATAATATTTATAATCTTAAGAGTAAAACAACATTGCAGTAGTTCAAAACCATTTGATATGAATAATGTCAGCTCCTACACACTCATAGGATTCTTCTAGTTGTTGTTAATTTTGGCAGAACATCTCATTGAGGATCAGAGTCCTCTGTGAAAATGACTTTTATGTTCCATCCACTAAAGATGGTAGCAGGAGAGCAGAAAAGTACCGGCTGTTTGGAGAGAAATGCCTGCTTTGAATAGTGCCCCTTTCTGCCACTGAAGGAAGAACAGTTTTGGGGGTAGCTAACTTTTAATTCTCAAATGCCATAGTTTACAGAAGGCTAGGTTCATAAAATGACATATTTATAATAAATGTTTGAAGGAGATGAAAAGATCAGTGGCAGCTTATCTTCAATGTGGGGGCAACTACTAATAGAAAAGCAGAAAGATACAGCACACAAATCTGTATAAACAGACGGAATAAGTGCCCATGCAGTATTCCTGATAATAGGCTACATATTTGATTCTGGGAAGAAGAGAGGTCCTTGGTCCACTGGATGATCAGCAGCAGGAGTGTGTCCTCTGTGTTGCAGTATAAGTCTTCTGGTGGCCATAGCAACCTGTATTGGTCATCAGGCAGATTATAAAGCACAGGAATGCCATCTAACAATGGATGTGCACCTGAAGATGTCAAGTGTATCTCTAGAATGGGCTTGATACATTTAAGAGCCTTGGTCCAGAATAGGTCATCCTACTGGCATGTTTTCTCCTTTTATTCTTAGAATAGAGAAAAGATAATATAAGAAGAAATTCAGCACCGATGTATAGATAGATTTTTATATTTCTCCATAGGCCCTAAAGAAGAGGAGGAAGAAGAAGCAGAAGGGTCTGATGATGGTAAGAAATTTGTTATTTCACCATACTGTGCTTTCAGCTTGATGTCCTCTTTGTAATTGGTTGTTTGTGCTGTCAACTTCTAGAAGAGAAAGAAACAGAAATTGACTATCGAACAGTGACCATCAATACTGAACAAAAAGTTTCAGACTTCTACAATGTTGAAGAAAGATTGGGATCGTAAGTGTAACCATATGTTTTGCCCATTCTGTTGGATCGCTAAGAAGTCTTGATAGAAAGTCTACCACCATATCATTAACTTCATTCTGACTTAGCCCTGTGGGAATTTATGCTAAACTGGGTCACTGAAATACTGTGAATCAAAGACCTGCCATTGTCCCAGCTTGTCAGCTAGGGGAAACAAACATAATGATCGTTCATCCCATGGATGTAAAGAGGTCAAAAATCCATCAGGTTTCTCTTGGGGTGCAACTTTTTTTATGCTTTTTCGACTCAGCCTGCCTTTGTCAATCTCAGTTGAGGATTCCTCCATTGGCAGCGTAGCTTTCCAGTTTTCCAGTGTAGCTAACCCAGCTGGTTTTGGTTTTGGGGACTAATATGCTTGCATGGTTGGGTTCTCTGTGGCCTTCTGGACCCTCCTTTATAGGTTTGTTAGGTGGACAGATTAGCTTTACCCAGTCTCATTTGCTCATACCTTGTCAGTTGCCTACAGACTGACTCTTGCCCGTGTAAAACTATAGTTTTTCTCCCTTCATGGCTACTGCAGATGGCACTGAGGAAGATATCCTCCCAGATGGATCATGTGTAAGCCGCCCCGAGGTTTCGGCAAGGGGCGGCATAGAAATGTTATAATAATAATAATAATAATAATAATAATAATAATAGTTCCTTTTTGCCCCCATTGCTGCAACTTGTGTTAACTTGCAGCAAAAGCACTTTTCACATTCAAAATTTAATTGAATTATACACTGGAAATTAAAGTAAGATTGCAACCCTAGGCAAGCTTACTTGAAATTTAATTCCTTAAAAAGAACAGGACTGGATTTAGAGGAAGTCAGTTTAGGACGGGAGCAATAATGTAAAATACGTGTTATTATTTCTGTTTCAACAAACCAACAAGTGGGAGAATGCCACTCCATTTCCCCTCCCTATCCCACCCTCTCATATTTCTGTATTCCTAATTGTGTGTGTGTGTTTGCCATGAATCAGTCACTTTGTATTAGAATCCTTAAGATGGCTTTCTGCCTGTCTTGAAGGGTTCTTAACTGATTCCAGAAATGCCTGTGGTGAAGCTAAGACCAATACAAGCCCTACGACCTATAAAGCCAATTTAATTTATGCTGAGTAGTCTGACTGAATGGCAGTTATGCGCTATGCAACAAACATTATAGCTTCATTATATTTCTTAAGGATAATGAGATTACACTTCCTCCTTGCCTGTGGGAGAGATTTCTTGTTGGCACTGGTGGTAATCCTCAAAGCATACTAGCCATAATGGTGTTGCTTAGTGTGGTCAGTTGTTAAGTGCCTATCCTTGGCTCTTTGTTATGATGCCTGCTATGCAGAGTGAGGTCTATCGAGTATGTCTTGTCCAGCCCTTTCAGCAGTGTAACTTTTTAAAATCAAATCAGTAATGCTGGATTTAGTCCCATTGTGTCTTTCCATGTATGCATAACAGAAACTGCCAGCTTGCTGCTGAAATTCGGCAGCAAGCACTTCTTTAGCGCTACAGAGCGCTGCAGTCCAGTTCAGCTCTTCTCTGAGCCAAATCTAACTTTTTTGGTGCTCTGTAGCAGCCAAGCTAAATCTGGCCATTTGAGAGCTGCTTAGCTGCTACGAGCACCATTTGGGGAAGGATCTTTTTTTACAAAAAACTTTGGGGTGGTCTGGAAGAATATGGCCCACAGGCTATATATTGCTTATACCTAAACATATTACCTGAGTCAATCATTCTGTAACACCAGGAAGCTTATTCTGTGATACATTTGTGTTGTGCACTCACTCCTAACCACTGAAATAAGTTAAAGAAAACTTCTGTACTTTTCAGGGGGAAATTTGGACAAGTCTTCCGGCTTGTTGAGAAGAAAACTGGAAAGGTTTGGGCAGGAAAATTTTTCAAAGCATATTCAGCTAAAGATAAAGAAAATATAAGGCAAGAGATCAGCATTATGAACTGTTTGCACCATCCAAAGCTTGTCCAGTGTGTAGATGCCTTTGAAGAGAAGGCTAACATTGTCATGGTCTTGGAACTGTAAGTATAAAATAGACTCTAGAGAGGGGATCTAATAGTGTTACTTTTCTTACAAAGGGTATGTGTGGGTTTTAAAAAAAAAAACTAATTTGGAAATTCTAGTTTAATTCTTGTTAGCAGCAGCATATTCATTTGTAAATCAGATATTGCAGTCTGTCCAAGCTGAAAGTAGTAAATAATGTGTGAGGATTTATCCTTGGGATAGCTCATGCATTTGTGGATCACTTTCATTTTTTTCCTGCATCCTCTTACTTCCTGGTGCCTCTGTCTACCATTAGTTGATCCATTTAGATAGAGATAGGGAAGAGTGAACTTTCAGAGGTGAGTGACAATTAGCTGCAGCCTTCCTGTTCTCCAAAAGCAGAATCCACAGGAGCATTTGAACCCCTGCCAGATTTCTTTTGCCCCTCTGCTTGTTGTGACTGCAGTTGAGGAGTGTGGGGAGCCCCAGCTATTTACCCCCTTCAGAAATTAGCATTTCTGCTTCTATGAAGTTTTCATCCAAGAAGTGCTGATTCTTCTTTGTGTAAATAGTGGTTTGCACTTGTATAATGCAATCAGTGGCATGCACTGGTTACAGAAGGGAATCAGCAGGGCAGAAAATCTGCCCTGCCAGATTCTGTCTCGGGGGTAGTTACTGGGACTTTAGGAAAACGGTATTTGCAGGAGTACAGAGGTGGATGTACTTGCTTCAGCACCACTTGTGAACATACAGTGTACCTTGTACACAAGGTACTGCCTTTCATTCAGGCCTGCTCTGAATGAAAATGGCTATTTGCAAGGGTACCAAAAGCAGTTTCTAATATGAAATGCAGCAGCTGCTGCTGATGATAATGATTCTATGATTTATATCCTATAATTTTCCTCTCATGAGGAGCCCCAGGTAGTTTACATAGGGCCATTTTATTCTCACAACAACCTTGTGAGGTAAAAAGTGACTGGCCCAAAGTCACCCAGTGCGCTTCATGGTGAGTGGGGACTAGAGCCAGGATCTCCCAGGTCTCCAGTCCAACACTTTTAACCACCACAGCACACCAGCTCTCATGATTGGTTAGTTAAGAGCTTGCACTGTTCATGTAATCCCGTGACACTTTATAGTTTTTGTGTTGCAGCCTAGTTTAACTTACATCACTAGTTTAACTTAAATAACTTGTTATCACATGAGAAATGTGCAAGTAATCTTTGTTAGTAGCAGGATGTGGTATGGAGAAGGAACTCCCATACTTTTGGACCCTAAAGAGCCACTGTAGCTTTCTATTTTACCCTGTGAACAGGGGGCTGAAGAGATACTGTTGCTGCCTTGACTATTAGGGCAAAATGTTAAGCTAACATTGAGCAAATGGGTGCACAGTCTTCTTCCTCATCTCTCCCCGTGCATGCCTGAATCATGTGCAGAGTGCAAGAAAAATCCAACCATACCAGCACTATTCAGAGATGTCCTTGTTGCATGAATAGAAGACTGCTCTTTTACTGTTTTATTGACCAAGTAGGTGATCATGGGTAAAATGAATTATATATAGCAATCCTATTTAGCTGTGGATTGAGAACTGGCAGTACTTAATGGAAACAGGAAGTTTATGGAAGAATGTGGCTTGCATGGAGTGGGGACCTCTGGAATTTTTTCTTTAGACAACCTTTTCCTCTTTTGCTGGTGTTTTTCAATTAACATCTAGGTAATTAGCCCCTGGCAAATGTGTGCAAATTTACCTGTACGCAGTCTTGCCTTGTCAGTATGTTTTCTACTGCACTTTGCTGCTGCTTTTGACAACTGAAACATAGAAGCAGATTGATCAGGCAAGACTTCTCATATCAGACAGCAGTAAGTGTATACTTGTGAAAGACTTACAAAAATTATAGTTTAAATAATAGTGAAAAGAAGTGTGCAATTTTCTTTCCATATGTGGCGAATGAGTTGAACCGGGGACGATGAGTTGACGGTCACAGATGTGCCACCTGGGCACAAGTGGAGGGGCTGTCTCTGGTGGGGGTGGCACAGGCGAGAACATGAAGAGTAGCAGGGTATTTTTGCTGCTCTTGCCAGATGGTTCGCTCCCTGACCTCCACAACCAGTAATAAAATTCCTCTCCAGGTTTGGACAATCCACCATTTGTCAAGCACCCCTGGAAGAAGCCATGGCTTGTGAGGGTGGTTTGTTCTTAAAAAAAATAAGTGGAGTGTGGTCTGAATTCAGAAGACACAACAATCCAACACAATGGGTTGTTGTGTCAGGCAAACTAGGTCAATATGTTAGGAGTAGCAGTTGCTTTCTTGTGTGTTAAGATGCTTTATGGTTTTTCTTTTTAATCACTTCTGTGTTGCTCTTATTTGCTCTGATTCTTTTACTTCATTTTTTTATCTTTTAAAAATCTTTCCTTAATGTATGTTGGTTTTTTTTACTCTATTTTGTTTGTCCATGTTTATGGTATTTTAAAACATCAATATTTTAAAGTATATTGGGTTGTATTTTAGCACAGTGCTATCTTAGCATTGTGTTTTCAGTTTGAGTGTCTTAGGTTTCTGTACTAAGACTGCTCTATCCTTCCTCTTTTGCTAAATTGGAAATGGTTTACTTGTCCTATCATAAGGATGTATGTAGTTGAAAGAAGTTGAAATTGCTAAGACACTGTCTCAGAGCAGCCTTTTTGGCACATAGGAACATACTTTGTACAAAAAGAAAATGATGAACCTAATTCTACTATATAAAATCCCATTTTCATGTTAAGGAAATAGAAAATGTAAATGGTTACATAATGTGTTTGATTTTTTTCCTTTGCTTAAAATAATTGAAGTTCTGTAAATTACTCAATTTCTTACATTATTTAGTCTCCCAGTTGTTGAACTGCATCTTCCGTTAGTCCAGGGTGATAGAGCCAATGGTGGGGAGACTTACCATCGAAGAACACCTAGAAGGACATGTTGCCCACTCCTGGAATAGCTTAGCACAGATAGTAGGTGGCCAGAGGGGAGAGACAGGAGAAAAGGATGAAATCAGGACTGCAACCAGAGGGCAGGTGGGATGAACAAGTTTTAGACTCCAACGTTGCAGGGAGACGTCTCTGCAGTATTTGTGCCATCATTTTTGCCTTACACTGGTGCAAAGGAGAGAATCTGAGCTAGACTCCTGGAATAGTGCAAGGCTTAGGGACAAGGGTAAGTGCAGTGTGGTGGAGGAAAGGGGAGAGGACTGGATGAAAGCTGAGGAAGAAGCTTTCATTAATGCACTCTATTAAGGAATCCTGCCCATCACTTTGTGTTTATTTTCTGCCCCATCTCTATAAACTTAGGATGCTCTGGCTGTCTTCACATGCATGCACACACGGGGAGTTTTGTGAAACACGATGTTTATGATTTCAGATCCTTCAGAAACTCTCCTTTAATTTTGCTTTAGTGTTTCTGGAGGGGAGCTGTTTGAGAAAATCATCGATGAGGACTTTGAACTAACAGAGAGGGAGTGCATTAAATACATGAAACAGATCTCAGAAGGGGTACAGTACATTCACAAGCAGGGCATTGTTCATTTGGATCTGAAGCCTGAAAACATCATGTGCGTCAACAAGACTGGTGCACGAATCAAGCTGATTGACTTTGGACTTGCACGACGATTAGGTAAAAATCTCCTTGGCTTATTTTATAGAACTGTGCATAGGTGTTTTATCATGACAGGTGTCACAAGGTCTCAGCCCTATTTTAATTCAAGACCTGCGTATCTCAGATGCTGCGTGGTTTGGGGATGCTGCTGACTTTGAGAGATGCCTGCAGAGATGGGTATTTTGTATGTGCACAATTCTCCTCTGTTTCGCTTTTGGGATCACAGTAGTTGAGTGCTTATATCAGATGTTCAGACCAGCCACTCTGAAAGACCTATTCTAGGCTGTCACTCTTCTGACTTGTGCAGACAAGAGAGCTGACTAGACCAGTGGACCAGTGGGCTCATATGGGAAGTGAGCAGAACTTAAAGCGTAACAAAGGAAACAAAGGTTAGGGTGCTTGAGCCGTTCTCTGTGAATTTTGAAGTGAGCTGATCTGCCCCTCAGTAACTAGCAAGCATATCAACTGCACTCATCCTTTCCGTTTTGCACCTCTTCCAATCTTGCAATACATTCCTGTTTTTAAAATGTATCAAAATGTGCCCAAGATATGTATTTTATGATAAAATACATTCAGAAATGCACACATTCAGATAAAATATATTTATAAATGCATTTTTGTGAGAAAATAAGTTCAAAATCCATAAGAAGATTACATGTTCATTTACTGATAGTTGTGCAGATATTTTGAAAAACTGCCAAATAATGCAGCATGGAACTATGAATGAACACACATGAAAAGTGATGGACTGATCTGTATATCCTTAAATAAGGGTACCTAATCCGGAGTCTCAGCAAAATGGTACCTGGTGTTTTGCCCATACACATAATAGGAGGGAGAAAATAACCATTAATAGAAGCCTAGATTACTGCTATCCCACTCATCCTGTTTTATTCTCATGATGAGCCTATGGGGTAGGTTAAGCTGCGAGTTGGTCCTTGCCTCAGGGTTATACTCTTGGCTGAGTGGGGACTTGAAGCAACCCTAGTGCAGCACTCTGACCACTACACCATAAAACCACCAGTTCTGTTTTATTGCATAATGTTAGTCAGAACATGAATGGGTAAACGTTGAATTTGCTGGGTCACATTCTACAGACATTTTTTTTAGCCAGCCAGCCAGCCATCCTTTTATTCTTTCTACAGGGAAGATAACTGAGAAAGGACTGTGCTTTTTTGCTTTCCAACCTTATTTGCCTTTTCATTAAAAACAGTTGAGTACAGCTAAGCTTTGATGTTATTTAAATCAGTTAATACTCATGATACTTTTGTGGTCAATTTCTGCAGAAAGTTAGCTGTTCTGTTTTGCCAATGATCTAGCATGGTATTTTTCCTGACCTTTTTTGGTATGTTCAGAATTTGCATATGGGCAGTGTGAGACTTTTTCCTTGTGTGGAGCGCTTTGTTGAGGCATTTTATTAAAATAAATAAATCAGAAATTGATTTGTTCTGCACAGTCCACAAAGGGCCAGTTTCCCAAACTCTTAACACATGTAAATAGTGATGAAAAATGCTTGGCTCTGGATTTTGGTACAAGCTGCTTTTTATCCTCCATTAAGCTTTTGACTGAAATGGAGTCACTGGCCCTCATAATAAGTTGATTCAGTAGAAACAGATTTCAACAGTTCCGGCTTTGTTTCACAAGACCCTACAAAGAAAGCTTCCTGCTTGTGGGCTTCATCCCCCTGTTTATCATGAGGAACATGGACCTTATCGAAATGAATCTTAGGCCTAACCCAGCAGGATTCAGCCTTAACATTCTTTGAGACTGTAAATACTTCTTTATATGAAGGCCGTATCACTCAGTTTAGACCAACTAGTTTTGGCTTTAACCTGCAATGGAGAACCTGTGAACTTTTAGATGTTGCTGCCCCATGAGTCCCAGAGGTCAGGGATGATAGGAACTGTTGTTCTAATCCAACAACATTTGGTGGTCTGCAGGTTTCCTGTCCCAGCCATACTGTTGTAAGCATACAGACACACATCTTCCCCTCTTCCAGCACATAGGCCTATATTTCCAAATACGTTGATTTTCTCATTTCATTAAAAGATTATGAAAGCAGTTGTTTGTATAGTATGAAGCACGGCTCTGAGTGCTACCATGCACTAAAGAGTGTGTGTGGCCGGGGGTGGGGGGGGTAGAGTATTCTCTAACTGCCATTCCAATGCCCTACCTAAAACTGATGAGGCAAAGCTATGCAGGGGCTGGTACACAGTGTTTGGATCTAGGCAGCCAAGATTTGAAGGCCTGCTTGACTTTGTTACTCACTGTGTGTCCTTGGGCAAATTAACAGTGATCCAGCCTAATTTATCTCTAGGTATTATGAAGAAAATGACTTTGAAGGACCTATATGGGCAAGATTAAGGAAGGAGGGGTTAGGGTCACTGCAGATGAAAACAGGCAACGTTGTTTTCCATACTGTACATTTAGCATTCTTCCCCTCTTTTTCCTCTCTTTTTCACAGAGAACGCAGGTTCTTTGAAAGTTCTCTTTGGGACACCAGAGTTTGTGGCTCCAGAAGTTATAAATTATGAGCCTATAGGGTATGCTACTGACATGTGGAGCATTGGAGTCATCTGCTACATCTTGTAAGTAATCTGCTAAACTAAATCACAAATCCCACTAATGTAAACATTTCATATATACATTCCTTCCTTGTATTCTAGACTTTCCTTATATGTTGCAACTAATATGGGAATATCCAGAAAGGCTACTTCAAGCTAGGGAGAGTCCCCATGCACCCCTCTTCTTCTTCAGTACACACACCCCAGAATTTATAAACTCAGTTATTTAGATAATGGAACTATTAACATGTTAATGTCCTATTTATGAACCCAGGGATGTTAAATATTATTTTATTCTAGTCACAGTGCTTGCTTCAGGTTATTAAGAGTTTTTTAAAAATCCAAGGGGATAAAAATCACTAGCGATCCATAAAGCCAAATTATTTGTTCTCTCCTTTTGTAGATGAGTTCTTTCTGCACTAGCTGCAACTCCAAAATAAGGGAAGGGCAGGAAGAATTCCAGGTGGGGGCAGGGGAGAAGAGAGACTTCACTAGGATTTGAGAGAACCTGGCAGTACCTCAGCCCTTGCCCCCGCCCCCCACAAGCAGGGTGGAATTGCTTAGGAACTGAAATTACCTGTGTGTTCTTAGGGTGGGAGGATTGCTCCCACACTACTCCTATTGGATGCGCCACATCCTCTGAATTTGGATAGTTAGGGGTAAACACATTGGATGGTGCCCTAAGTATATTAGCTTCATAGCTTCTTAATTCAATTCTTCATAGCTGTTTACATTTTCATCTATGTCTTGCTCTGTGTTACAGGCTTTTCCATTTCCTGTTAGCATTTTATTATTAGATTTTTTTTACTTTCCTGTTTTCTTTCAGTATCCCTATTTGTGTTTCACTGCATATTTTTCTATTTTCTGATAAAGAATGCAAATTTTCTCCTACTTTTTTTAAAGTTCCCTCATGTTGTGCATTTAAGTACTTTTTCTAATAATGTGCTCTCGTTCCGTTTCTCTGTTTCTATGTTCTCTCTTCCCTCCCTCCCCTCTGTTTCTCTTCGTTTATGTTGGTGTTAGATTTTTACCACCTTTCTAGTACTGTTGCTTTCAAATTTATTAAGTCTTTCCAAATGACTTAATCTTTTTATATATGCTGTTAAGATGCTCCAAGGGCCCTTTTCAGGCTGAAAATATAAAATAAACCAATCATTCCTTATGGAAAATCTTTACATAATAAGGCAAAATAATTCTTTTTTTTAATTGTTCTTGAAGTTATATTTTCAATTGTTTGCAGGCTGCCATGGAAGTAAATTATTTATTAGATGAATTTTGAATGTTATATACATTTTATTAATCTTTCCATTGGCTTTCAGTTACTTAATTACTCTTATTTAGTCTTCTGTAATTAGTCTTTCTTGGCTTTGCATTACATCTGAATAAAAATACATATGCCTGTTAGAAGAGAAGAAGCATTTCCATTGGTGATGCTAATGGAGGAAGGACTTGTTTGTTTATTGCTTTGTTTATTCATTTCATTTTTAAGCTGCCTAAAAGCCAAGGTTGTCTGGGTGATTAACAAGGATCCCAAAAATGGGGAAGCAATTGTCATCTAGGAAAAACAATAATATTGAGAGATCTCTTTGATTTTTACAGTCAGGAGAATGGTGATAAGGAGAATCCAAAGTAGAATAGCAACTCAGTTTTTCAAATAGGTTCATCACTTGCTTTCCATGGATCAGTGTGGTTATATGGAAGGAAAAGGATATATTCACAATGAACTCACTGAAAATAAGGCAAAGTAGGGGCTGTTTCTGAAGTCTTATCAGTTAAAATGCTTTGCTTCAAATGGTGGACTAGGACAGACACAAATCAGTTCTAATGTTGGTATTTCGGACTACTCTCTGATGGCCTCCAGTCTTCACAGTTCAGATGAGAAGAATTATTTTAATTTAATTTACCCTGTGTTGTGTCCCTTCACATCAACAGCTGTCACATGAAACCTATTTTGCTTAGCTGACTTGCTGACAGGATAGTTCTAAGGCAGGAGTGGGCAACGGTGGGCCAATTCCCTCCCAGAGCTCCTACATGGGCACAGAAATAAATAAAATAATGGGTGTGGGGGGGTATGTGCATAAGTAGTACTTAAAGCAGTTTTTCAGAGCACTCCAGGGATTAATAGTAGCTTGTTTCCCATTTCAAGTTGACCCTTTAGATGTTCTGTAGCTACTACAGATTTTTTTAAAAACTCCCCTTTTGCCAGTTTGGGGGACAACAGGCAAACATCGCATGCTGCTGTCCTAAGGGAAGAGGGGCCAGCCTTTCTCTGAACATTCTTGCCTCTCTGTGCTACATACATTGTAAACTGGAAGCACAGGAATATACCATCCAGACAGGTTCAATGGCACTCGGAGCACCATATTGCAAGTGTGAAGAATTGTCAAGTGGTGCAGATAATTTGGTCTACCATGTTCTTCCTTCCTTAGGGTAGGGGATTGCTTCTGGATTTCACCCTTCCACTGTTGAAAGGAAAAATAGCTTTCTTCTGCCCCTCTAAAAATGGAAGCTGTAAGAGGCTCCTGAACTATGCCTTAGGTTGCCCTGCCAAGCATCCTCTTGGCCTTAAGTAGCTGGAAAAATCTTTCCAGTAAACAACTCGGTGTTAGTTGCACAAGTAACTGTGCAGCTTCAACTCCAAATTATTCTTTCCTTGGCAGATGCTGCTCATCTATGTCACTTTCATGCGAGCACGGCAGAAAGGTTTCCATAATTTGTCAAAAATATTGCTCCATTATTACTCTACATGGCTATAAAATAAAACTAAAATCAGACAACTGGGTCAGGAAGATCTGTGGTGAAGATGGAGACATTCTAGAGATAAATTTTAAGCATGCCAGTAATCTTCCTGCCTGCACTCCCTGTTCTTCATCTTCCAGTTTAAAAATGTAACCACAGAACATTGTTTTCTCTTAGAACTATTTTCAAGGCATTTGTGTCTTATGATATGGGAGAGCTATTGTGGCCTTTCAGACTGATGGTTGGCTCCAACTGGATGTCCTTGGTTATACACTTTTGACACAGAATGAAGAACTGTGTTTATTTTATTAAAACCTATCTTTCCTTTTAAAAATTGCTTTAGGTGGTTTACACAGAGTAAAGTGACGTAACATGGTAAATAGAATAAAATTACTAATTTTAGGAAGGTAAAATAGTTTGAATAAAATTCAGCAAACTTAGAAACCTTGCAGGTCAAATACCTGTTGAACATGAAAAGTATTTTCACAATGCTAGAAGATAACCAAAGAACAGGCAAGGAGGGACTTCCATCGGCAAAGCGACTTGAAGCCTAGCCATAGCCATCAAGAAGCTCTCCTTCTGCATTTCAGCTAAACACAAGTCAGCCCTTGGAGGAAAAATAGCAATCTTTCTTTAATCAGTTGTTTCCTAGTTACCTCACCTTACCCAATTCATGTCTCAGGCCAGGACCTGCTCTAACTTTGTGTTTTGAAGCAAGTAGTCAATTTTAAGCAGTAGTCATAGTCCACTCTTTACTTAAAAGCCAAGTGGTAGCATTAGTGATAGCCATGCTTAGATGAAATGAGAAAGAATGCTGTTTGTTGCCATCCTGCCTAATAATTTTCCCTGTAGGATTCAAGAGCATGATCCTCCTTCTTCCAACGTAAACTGGCCCACTGAAATATATTGCTCAACCAGTTTTGTTTTTCATATTCCCTGAGACCAGCATAGCAACTCTACTGCGTAGGAATCCTACTTAAGCACAGGTGTATATTGTCACAAGAATATATAGCCAGTGTTGAACTTAGGGTCATGATCTTGCCTTTGGCCTCCAGGGAAACATCCATACATTTGATGATCTTTTCTTTGCTTCTCCAAAAAGCAGAACAGAGATTTTTAAGAAATGTGCTTCATAAATTTTATATAACAATGTATATTTAGAAATAATTAATGTGATTAAAATAGAAATTCAATGATTCTTCTATTACCAACTGCAATTATATCCCACTGTTTCTCCTCTTGCGAGGCAGTCAAGGCAGCTTACACAGTTCTACTTCACTTCATTACAAGCATTTTCTTCCCTGTGGTTAGGCTGAGAGTGAGTGACGAATCCAGTGAGCTTCCTGGCCAAGTAGGGATCCCCCAGGTCCTCTGTCCAGCACTCCAGCCACCACACCACACTGGCTGAGTACTGCTACTATTACATGGCCTTTATACGTTTTTCCTCTTTCAAAGAGCCCAGGTATGGCATGTGGCCTGTGTGCCTGAGTGGTGTTCACAGGCAGGCTTTCAAGGCACCTGCTTTTTCTTATCCTTAAACCAGGCTTGGACTGGATAGCCCTTCAAATAGGATAGCCCAGGGATCCTCAAACTTTTTGAACAGGGGGTCAGTTGACAGGTGCTAGTGGTGGCCGCGGGGGGCCCACCGGGAGGAGTGGGCCGGTGTGGGGGCAGGGCTCGCTCACACGAGGCAGGGATGGGGAGGGCACAGAGCGAGGTGCGGGCTTGCTCACGAGATCATTTTCTCCAAGTCCAAAATGACCTCCTCATAAGCAAGCCGCTGCTGGGCACGCCCATGGCAAGATGCCAGCTTGCTCGCGAGATCATTTTCTTCAGTCGAGTCCAAAACAATCTCTGTGAGCAGTGGAGTGGCACCAACTTGCTCACGAGGAGAGTGTTTTCTCCAAGCCTTTCCAAAATGACCTACTCATGAGCAAGCTGTGCACGTGCCCAGCGAGTGCAAAACGTGTGGTGCGGGCCGCTTAAAAGGGCATGGCGGGCCGGATCCGGCCCGTGGGCCTTAGTTTGAGGACCCATGGGATAGCCCTTCTGTTCTCTGTTCAGTGGAACACACAGCACTCTTGGTTGATCTGGGTTCAAATTGTTATGTGCCATCAAGTCATCTCCACTTACAGCAACCCCTTGAATGAAAGCTCTCCAAAATGTCCAGACCTATGATAGTTCTGCTCAGCTCTTCTAAATTCAAGGCTGTGACTTCCTTTATGAATTGAACTCACTTTGTATTTGCCCTTTCTTTTCTTCTTCTGCCTTTCACTTTCCTTAACATGATTGTCTTCTCCAAGGACTTTTGCCTTCCCATGATGTGCCCAAATTATGACAGCCCCTGTTTTGTTACTTTTGCTACTGGGGAAAGCTTTGGTTTGATCTGATCGAAGGTTTACTTGTCTTTTGGTCAGTCCAGAGTATTAGCAAAGCTCTCCTCCAGCACCACATTTCAAATGCATCGATTTCTTCCTGTCAGCTTTCTTTGCTGTCAAGCTTTTACATCCACAGTGACTGGCAATATAATAGTGTGGATGATTCTGCCCTTGGCCCTACAGTGATCCATGCATTTGATTATCTTTTCTAGTTCTTTTGTTGTTATCCTTACGAGTCTCAGTGTTCAGATTGGATGAACACTACTCTTCCTCAGATTATGCATATATCTGCCATTGTTATAGCATATATTTATTTTGTCTGTGTTCTAAATTCTTACTTTCTGCTCTACTGAATGTACAAGTAGACTATGTGGAACTTGAATTTGATGTTCGTGATATTTTCTTTTCAGATTGTTCCAGTTTACTGGTTCCATCTAGTGGCTGTATCATACAATTACTGTTCCTGTCCAGCAGTTTGACAGAATTCAAAAGCAAAAATGAATATAGGGGATACTCAGCACATTGTTTTTTCTTCCTGTATCCCTACAATACCTGGATGTAGGAAATAAAGGAAGAAATGGTCTCTAGCATGATATACACATACTACCTTCTTGTAACAGACTTTTCCTACACGCTTAAATTGGTTTCAGAATGCCTTCTTGAATGGAATGTTTGGTTGACTATTTCTGTTAATATCTGAATATTAACAGAACTGTTCTGTTCTGTTAGTTCTGACTAGTTCTGAAATATTCTTGTAGCTTTAGTTTAGTATGTATAGAAACTGTAAGCGTGTTGATTTACAGATAATGCATACCTTTCCCACATAGGATATTAATTCTTACTGTTTTTATTTTAACCTGCAGGGTCAGTGGACTTTCTCCTTTCATGGGTGACAACGACAATGAAACCTTAGCCAATGTTACCTCTGCAACCTGGGATTTTGATGATGAAGCTTTTGATGAGATCTCAGATGATGCCAAGGACTTCATCAGCAATCTTCTAAAAAAAGATATGAAGTAAAGATGTCTTACGATGTCGTGCATGTTGCCATTGAGCTAAATGCATAATAGCTGCCCACTCAGAATGACTTCTTATTCACAAGCATCTCTGGGCATATGTTCATAAAGATCTCAATATTATGATAGTACTGAACCTATGAAATTCAGCCAATATATACCATATTTAATAAATTCAGGTCCAAGGTCCTTCAAATTGCTACATTCCTGACATATGAATGATTACGGTGAAATCATACTTTAATCTATAAAGCTATAGTGGCTTTAAATTGTCCATATAAATAGAATTAATTACTGTTAGTAATCCATGTTGCCCACTCACTATCACATAAGCTTTGCAAGAATAGGCATGTTGATTTGGAGAACAGTGTTATGTACAGTTTAAAACTTAAGAACATATAATTCAGTAAATTTGGGCATTTTGCTATCTCACCTTCACAGTTCAATTATCTTTACCTCTTTCTTCTTGCAGATTTTAGCTTAATGTATCCGTTAGTGTGCTAGGCAAACATTTAAATAGGAAATGTTGATCTCAGTGTGCATTATTATTTTTATGCATATGGGTTCCCATTGATTAAATGTGATTTTATCACAAGTATTTCATGAATTAACAATCCTGAACAGATTTCCCTCCCTGGGCAGAAGGAAGCTATTTCAAAAAAGTGACCTTCATGGGTGGTTGCATGCAATGTCTTCGTGCAGAGTTCCATTTCATTCTGCTACTGATCAAAACATTCACAGCAAAGTTCATAATTCAAGAGTCATCCCTTCTTCCCAGGACTAGAATTTGTGGCATAGATGCTATGCTATGCTCTCTGAGTAAAAGTTTGAAAGGTTTCAGGTATATTTTTCGCAAAGAATGCCTTCTTTGTGTCTGTCTGCCAATTTTACTGAGCATACCAGATTGCAACTGCATCTGTAGGCATTCTAATGATCTAGGTGGAGATATTAGAAAGCCTATAGAAACTAGTTAAAATTAGGGTGGTGAGGAATCCTATACAGGCTCTGGTTTGCCATTTCTGTGCTGGTGCCAATTCACTGTGGTATGAGTAGAGACATCTTGCAGAGTCTTCTTCTAAGATGGGTCATAATTCACAATTAAAAAATCCATATGTCAGATAATTGCACAGAACAATGCCATTTTTGGTTTCCAGTTTTCACAAATCACACTAATCCAGCTTGCATATTTTTTAATGCAAAAACTGCAGCCCTTCTTAGAAACGGAAGTTTAGGAAGAAAGCCTGACTTGGCCATCTTCTAACTGGAAGCAGGTGGGAAATCTGTCTCAGCCAGATTTCCTAGCATCGCCATAACCTTAGATGACATAAAAGCAAGTGCATTGAAACTTTGTCTTTATTCTTCTTCACAGGGACCGCTTAGATTGTACCAAATGCCTCCAACATCCTTGGCTGCAAAAAGACACCAAAACCATGCAAGCCAAAAAGCTGTCCAAAGATAGAATGAAAAAGTACATGGCTAGAAGAAAATGGCAGGTAATACAGTGGACAAGAACATGTGCTGCAGAATCCCGACTTCCACTTCTGAAGTTCATGATTTCAGGGGTGGGAGGGACTAGAAAGATAATTGATTATAAAGATGGCACATCCTTGCAAAAAGCAATTTCAGGATGTGGGCGAGTTGCCAAGTACAAACATGTAGACTGAATTAAAGTAGCTTAATACGTTTGTTTGTTTGCATGTTTGAAATGTGTATCATGTGTGCAAGTTGTGAGAAAGATCTCCTGAGTTATTAGTGGAGGTATTGAGAGATTTTTCTCTAGGTTGGCTTAAGCAAAAGAAGACTGAAGAATATTCTGTGATTTTACTTAAGACATCAAAAGAAAGCAAGAGGGGAAGGGCAAGACCCATATTATGCTATTCTGAAATATGGGTGAAATGGTTTTCTAAGATTTTTGCTGGCCCTCCATGCCTGTCCATTTTTGTCCATTGCTTGCCTTTATTCTTGCTCCTTAAATGGAAATGCTACTTTTACTTTGCAGAAAACAGGAAATGCTGTCCGTGCCATAGGAAGACTATCTTCTATGGCAATGATTTCTGGCCTGAGTGGAAGAAAGTCCTCTTCAGGCTCACCAACCAGTCCTGTTAATGCAGAAAAGATGGAACCTGAAGGTATGAGAATTTTGATATAGTCTAAAAATGTAGCAGTGCACAACAGGTGCATGGTCCCAATCAGATGGCCACATCTGGAAGGTAGTTTTCTGCAGTCTTTCTCCCATTGTAAAATTCTACCCTGAGGCTTAGGTTCTGGTAATAACAACTTTAAGCCAAAATATGCTGGTATTTCTTACATTGTTTGCAATGTTGGCCTCACCCTTTTGTGTTCAGCTTTGCCCACCATTGGAATATGGTCCTATAGTCGTTGGAACTAAATGTGGCCTTCAGCTGGAAGTGGTTTCCCACTACTGTGTCCCACTATGACTCTGTGCTATTGTTAACAACACAAACAGATGTCCGTGGTTTCTATAGTGTTACTGGAATCTACAGGGAGATTTTGTCCATTATTATGCAAACTTTGGCAGAGCAATTCTCTTCCAAGGTTAACATTTTTTTTTTTTTACTTCCCCTAGATGAAGCTGCCAACACTCTCCTGGAACCTGTTGATGAAGAAAGGTCCCATGTCAAACCATATTTCTCTAAAACTATTCAAGATATAGAAGTTGTAGAAGGCAGTGCTGCTAGATTTGACTGCAAAATTGAAGGTACTTCAGAAGGTTGGGTGACACTTGTTCAGTTAGCTTGAGAGAGCTGCGGTGAAGAAGGAGGCATGGTGCATCGCAGGTTCATCACAATTTGTGTTTGCTTTGCACATTAGAACCCCTAGCTTCACACTTCTGTACATTTATGGATAATAGATATGTTGAGTAAGCATAATGATACTCTAAAGACATACCTGTTAGTGTTTAATTCTACATATGTCTACTCAGAAGTAAGATCCACTGAGTTCCATCAAGCTTATTCCAAGGTAAGTGGGTAGATTGCAGGCTGAATCTAAGATCATACATATGTTTTATGGTTCAGAATCTAATGAAAGTATCCAGTGTACTTTTACCACTAAAAGGGAATAACACCTTCCAATAAATATGTATTATTTAAAATAACTGAACTTTCAAAGCATCTGAACACAAAACTAAATGTGCCAAGTGCAGGGCAGTATGTGCAACCCAAACTGATCATATGTAAGGCTACTCTACCTGTCCCAGTCTGACTTCAGTTGAAATGGTAAAAATGCTTAAAATTAAAGGCTGATTCACATGGCTGTTGTATGTACACAGAGCGAACTATGCAGAATGTGAGGGTAGTCAGAGTGATGCTACAGCAGGAGTGGCCAATAGCTGGAATAGAATTTGTGAAATACTCTCCACTCCTGCAGTAGTTAGTGTGATGATGATGGGGGGGTGGGGTGTTAGGTAAGGAGGGAAGTGCTAACCCTCTCTGCCCCTGTGCCCCCCTGAAATCAGGCCCCACTGTGCAGCAGTGGTGCTTGAAATAAGTTTCCTATTGAGGCCAACAGGAAGCTTGTTCAAGGCTAATTGTTGGAGGGTATATGGATATAGTGTCCTCATGGCTGCATGTTCCTTTTGGGAGAGTACATGGCTTTGGCCTCACCCAATGTCATTCCCTTCCTAGCACTAGCATTTAGTCCCTGGAAGGTTACTATCAGAATGAGAAAGATTTCCCACCCCTTCACCACATACTAAAGATGTGATGTCCTAGATCAGCCTTCACCAACCTTGTGCCATCCAGACACGTTTGAACTGTGACACTCAGAATTCCCAGTCAGTAGCGTTGCTGGATGGGAGTTTTGGGAGTTGTGGCCCCAAATTTATTTATTTATTTATTTAAAATATTTATATGCCATCCTGTTGCAAAAAGCCTCAGGACGGCTTACAGCAGAAAATATAAATAAATTCCCGACCCACAGTGGCTGCAGTTAAAAACATAGAAAAGACAATATTAAAACTTATTAAAATATTGCTAGAATAAAAAGGTCTTAACCTGGCGCCGAAAAACAAATAACGACGGCGCCAGAAGGACCTCTCTGGGGACCGCATTCCATAGATGGGGTGCCACCATAGAGAAAGCCCTCCTCAGGGTACTTTGCCTCCTAATATCTTTCATGGAGGGTTCTTGGAGGAGAGCCTCTGCTGCCGATCTGAAGGGGTGGGAAGGCAAATATGGAAGAAGGCATTCCTTCAGGTATCCAGGTTCCAAGCTGTTAAGGGCTTTATAGGTAATAACTAGCACCTTGAATTGAGCCAGGACTTCGATGGGAAGCCAGTGAAGCTGGTAGAGGACTGGGGTTATGTGAGAATAACGCCCACTCCCCGTCAGCAACCTGGCTGCTCTGTTTTGCACCATTTGAAGTATCCAGACTGTCTTCAGGGGCAGCCCCACGTAGAGCACGTTACAGAAATCCAATCAGGAAGTAACCAGTGCATGTGTCACTGTTGCTAGGCAGTCTTCCTCCAGGTAGGGACGCAGCTGATAGATTAGCCGAAGCTGAAGGAAAGTGTTCCTTGCCACCGCAGTCACTTGAGCTTCCAAGGACAGCTCCAGGTCGAGGAGCACTCCCAAGCTTCGGACCCTGTCCTTTAGAGGGAGTGCAACCCCATCCAGGGCAAGGTCCAGGCCACCTACCCAGGAGCTCGATCCATCCACCAACAGGACTTCCATCTTGTCTGGATTGAGTTTCAGTTTATTGGCTCTCATCCAGCCCATTACCTCGGCCAGGCACCAGTTCAGTACAGCCACTGCCTCACCTGGAACAGTTGAAAAAGAGAGGTAGAGCTGGGTGTCATCAGCATACTGATGGTTCCGCAGCCCAAACCTCCTGATGACCTCTCCCAGCGGTTTCATGTAGCTGTTGAATAGCAAGGGGGACAAGATGGAACCCTGCGGTACTCCACAGCATAACTGCCATGGTGCAGAGCCAAAGTCCCCCAGCACCACCTTCTGGAATCGGCCGTCGAGGTAGGAGCGGAACCACTGCCAAGCAGTGCCTCCTACTCCCAATCCTGCCAGCCTATCCAGAAGGATACCATGGTCGATGGTATCAAAAGCCGCTGAGAGGTCCAGGAGGACCAACAGGGACGCACTCCCCGTCTCTCTTCCTACAGGGCGACCAAGGCAGATTCAGTACCAAACCCGGGTCTGAAGCCGGACTGAAATGGGTCCAGATAATCAGTTTCATCCAAGAGTGCTTGGACTTGTCCCGCCACCACCCATTCCAACACCTTGCCCAAAAACGGGGTGTTGGCCACCGGTCTATAATTGGTGGCCATCTCTGGATCCAGGGACGCCTTCTTTAGGACAGGCCTGATTACCGCCTCCTTTAAAGGAGCGGACACCCAGCCGTCCCTCAGAGAGACGTTAATCACTTCCAGGACCCAGGCACCAATCCTGTGTTTGGCTTTGGTCAGCAGCCACAACGGGCAAGGGTCAAGTAAGCAGATGGTGGGACGTACTTGCCTAAGCACCTTGTCCACATCATCGGGCTGCATTAACTGAAATTCATCTATTAATACCTGACCAGATGGAGTCATTGGCATCTCCCCTAAAGGATCTGAATCACTTGTGGAGTCCAGCTTGTGACGAATCTAAGTGATTTTCTCCTTAAAGTGCTGGGCAAAGTTGTCACAGTGGGCCATTGAAGGTGGTACAGGATTTTTCTTAGGGCCAGGATGTATCAGCCCATGTACCACTTGAAAGAGCTCCACTGGACGGCACTGTGACGAGGCAATGGAAGTGGAGAAGAACTACTTCTTCGCCGCCCTCACTGCCACAGCATAGGCTCAATAATGAGCACGTAAGCGTGTTTGGTCAGATTCATCCCGTGATTTCCTCCACCTACGCTCTAGATGTCTCCCAACCTGCTTCATCGCTCTTAATTCAGATGTGTACCATGGAGATGGATGGGCTCTACCGGGCAGGAGAGGATGCTTAGGAGCAATCATGTCAATAGCTCTGGCCATTTCCCCATTCCACAGTTCAACCAGAGCATCAACAGGAGAGCCAGCTTTATCAACTGGAAAATCCTCCAGAGCCTTCAGGAATTTATCTGGATCCCTCCGGCTTCGAGGGCAGACCAACACAATAGGGTCCGCACCCTTACAGGGGGAAAGGCCGGCATCGAGCTCAAACCTCACGAGGAAGTGATCTGACCGTGACAAGGGAGTCAGACACAAATTCCTCACCCTCAGATCACCTTCTTTCTGCCCAATCGAGAAAACCAGGTCCAGCGTGTGTCCATGTTCATGGGTCGGGCCTATGACATGCTGAGGCAGCCCCATGGCCGTCATGGAGGTCATGAAGTCCTGAGCCACCCCAGTCAGAACAGTCTTGTCAAGGAGATTGAAGTCCCCCAGGACCAACATCCTGGGGGTCTTCAACACCAGGTCCGAGACGATCTCCGTCAGCTCAGGCAGGGAGTCTGATGGGCAGAAGGGTGCATGGTACACCAGCAGAATCCCCAATCTGTCTTGGTTGCCCAACGCCAGGTATAAGCACTCTAGACCTGGCCTCGAGAGGACAGGAAGCCCCACAAGGGAAATAGAAGCTCGATAAATTAAAGTGACCCCCCTCCCCTCCCTTCCCCTCTGGGCATGGCTGGTGCTGGACCAGATACCCGGGCAGGCACAGTTGAGAGATAGATACATCCCCCACTGTCTCGCCCAGGTCTCTGTAATGCAAGCCAGGTCGGCTCCCTCATCCATAATTAAATCGTGGATGAGGGATGTTTTTGTTATGGACCAACCTGGCATTGAGCAGCAGCACCGTCAGGCCTGAGGGACGGTTGAAAAGCTTACCTGAAACCTTCTGGTTGGGGGAATAACGAGGAGGAACAGGTGTCAACCATCTGTCCCTCCTTCTATTCCAACCTGTTAAACCCCCAATGCCATATCGACCATTGCTCAACGCCACCCTGATAGTGACAGCCACGCGCTCCCCAGGCAACCCCATAGTATCAGCCAAGTGTGAAGCCATTAAAAACCAATCCAATAAAATACAATTAAAACCCTCCAACCCTCCCATTACAAAACACGGATACACATGCCCAGGGTTCCTGGCCAGCCCAACCCCGCACAGCCCCGAATGGCCCCAAACAGCAACGATGTCCTGAGGCCGCTGGCTGCAGCCAGCGAGTTAAGCCAGTGGCCCCTCCCTGTGCCCACCCCCAATCCAGCACAGCTGCCACCCACGCTGGCAGGGGAGGGGGGCAAGGGCGGGCCCAAGGAGAACTCGCCGGCAACGATGGAGGGCCCGCAGGCCAGCAGCGTCCCCCGGTCCCGGGGTGGCCGCTGTCTGTCCGTCGGGCAGCGGTGGCGTCTGCGGGTGGCGGTGGAGAGTGGCCCAGTCCCATGGAGTTTGAAGGCCACCAGGTTGGAGAAGGCTGTACTAGATAAATGTGATTGTCACTCTGAATGTATTGTAGCTACATCCACAGTGTAAGTGCATATTCAAAACCATTCATTGTTTTTACAGTTCTTGCTATGGCAAACAGAGATGAACATATCTACACCTTATAGTGAATCAACTAAGTCTTATAAGGATAAGCACTACCGTATTTTTCCGTCTGTAAGACGCCCCCATGTATAGGATGCCCCCCACTTTTCTTACCAATCTCCAAGTGAGAAAGCTGCTGCCTCGCCACCTCCCCGCACATGCACCTGCTGCCTCCCCGCACGTGTGCCCACAATCATGCCAGTCTCCTCCCCAAGCGCACCCGCGATCGCGCCGGTCTCCCCCTGAGCGTGCCTGTGCCTGCCGCCACCGCCTTTCAACTGGGCTCCTGTTGAAAAAGTTTGAGGACCCCTGGGTTACATGCTTTCTGCAGCATGATGTCAGTTACATGAGGCTCATGATAGGAGGAAACCTGTTAGCTTGTCTCTGCAATCAGAAGTTTCACTCATGAGGCTAGTTTGCAGAGATAAGGTATCGGCAGTTTCGCAACAGCGGATCTCCTCTTGGCTACCCGCGTATAAGACGCCCCTCCATTTTTAGGTAAATATTTTTAAGAAAAAGTATCGTCTTATACATGGAAAAATACGGTAAAATACTTTCAGTGACTTGATTTGTAGCACTTGCTCCTTTTCCCTCTTCTCTCAGGTTACCCTGACCCAGAGGTTATTTGGTACAAAGATGACCAATCAATCAAGGAGTCCCGGCACTTCCAGATAGAGTATGATGAAGATGGCAACTGCTCTTTGACTATTTCTGAAGTTTGTGGGGATGATGATGCCAAATACACCTGCAAGGCAATTAACTGTCTTGGAGAAGCAACTTGTACCGCAGAACTCATTGTGGAAACAATGGGCAAAGAAGGAGAGGAGGAGGAAGAGGAGGAGGAGGAGGAGGAATGAAATAAAGCTAATGGGAGAAAGAGATTTGAAAAACCACCTATTAAAGACTTTAAGAGGCTCATGCAGTATGACATTAGGTCATGGGTTCCTTGGTTTGTTTCATCAGCACAATATGACGACACCGGCTTGTTCTATTTATGGGCATTAACTTGAATTAGCAAGCACTTTAGGTGGCTGTTGTGCTTGGATTTTGTTTAAGTTAAAGCATCAATTGCATAGTCCAACAGTGAATGTGAACACACCCTATGAAGCTAATCTGCAATTTTAAATGGTTGACTATTTGTTGAACTTAACTAATCAGGAGAAGGGGACTGGACAACTGTTCCATCAACTAGTACAGCAACAGTGCAGAACTTGGAGTACTTATGTTTCATTTCTCCTAAACACACTTGCATTTCTGTAAGCCCCTCTGATGTTCCAGTACATCACTGAAACTAAATAAATGCAAGTGTGTTTTGAGAACATGGGGCACAATCTAGCAGCAAGGTTGCCTGCAAAGGGCTCACTGAAAAGACAGGAGCTGTACAAAGTAACTTCCTAGTGGAGTGTATCCTTGAACTCTAAATCTTGGTATATATGCAATTTGGTTGTTCTCTACCCTATTTCTAAGTGAAGACATTTATCCTCCCCACAGCACTTTTCATACTGAAAGTATTATGTATCTTCATTAATTTTTCCTCTGAACATTACGTTTTTAAGTCAAAATGCCTAAGTTTAAGCCAATATAGTTATCACTGGAATAAAAGGAATAAATTTAGCATAAATCGCAAGTTTGACTATTTTATAAATCACAGCCTAAATATAGTTGTCCTGCTATGAAAATTAAAAGCAAATTTCCATTAATTTATTTGTTGCCATAGATGAGCAGTGGATCTTTACTTCCTCTATTGAAAATATTTCTCCATGAGTGCCAACATTTACAACCATATTAACATCAGCAGGAAATAGCCAGGATGTTCACTCTTCAACTGATCACCTGGCACATCCAGGATTTTACACACCCTGACAAACTGTCCAAACTCTTGTTGACATGAATGTGCTGAAATATGACCCTTGCGAGTCAATGACTTATGGCAGTTTCACCATGGACTGATATTGACTGACCAGCTTTTTTCCACAGCTGGTAGGGACAGAAATAGTCATAAAGATCAGCCCTACATTTCTCTTACTTTGTGGCAGATTCCTGCCAGGGCAACTAGACTGAATAAAGAACCTGTTTTGCAACTGTGTTTGCTAGGCTGCAGTAAAATGTGATTGTTTTGAAATGCCTGCTGTTGCAAAACAGTAAACTGTAAAGTCAGTGCGTATGTGGGGCAACTCAGCTTGTGACCTATTTGTGGCTTGGTTTGGTTAGTACAATGATTTTTTTCTTGATGTTTAGCTGGAAACTGGAGTGAACAAGGAAAGTGAGCCTAGATTACATGTTTCTCTACAAGTTCCAAAGAACCACAGATTAGCTCAGTATCTGTGAGACAAATGTCTTAAAGAAAAAAAAAAAAAAGCATAACCAACAGTGAAAGGTAATCTCTTCCTAAAACCAATTAACACCTTCAGATTTATCCACATTGCTTTTCTTTCACAATTAGTTGCAATTCAGAGTTCTGAAACATTATACAAAATCAAATAACAGTATATGTCCACTCTGTGCATCATTCCAGTTGTGTGGCTTTATTCCACTTTGTGCATAAAGTACAAGCATAAGAGCTGACTTTTAAAAAATACACAACAAAGCTTACTTTAGGTCTTCAAAGCAAAACAGGGGAAATTAAATGTATTTTAATACAGATGTATACGGTATCATCTTTAGATTATTTGATTGTAGCTAATCTTATGTTTTCTATATTATTTGCTTGTCTGCCTGTCTGAATACAGCAGCTCAGAATTTCATATATAAAGCTCACTCACAATTGCTGTGGGTTTTTACTGCTTTTGCTGTTTCTTGCTAGGTTGAGGTTGCCAGCATGTCTTCTTAAATGGATATAGAACTTTTGTTATATTAAAACACAATAATTGCCAGATTGCCACACAATTCTTAAAAGAAAATGTTTTAGCATTAATTACTGCAAACAAAGCATTTTCTCACATGTTTTTAATGTGTTAAAACAATGGGTGTATTTTTTTTTTGTATACCTTAATTAAAATATGCTGATGTTTTCCAGGTTTCTTGAAAGATGAGATCTGCAAGATTTGAGAACACTACAGCTGTAGTTACTCATGATTTCTCAATAAACAACTACCACAAGGCATGCTAGCATGAATTCTAGTTTGTTTAGTTCTATTCAGCAATTTTGTTTCTTCTAAGGCGGGTCTCACACTCGCGGCCCGCGGGCCAATTGCCGGGACGGCGGGGCATGGGGGAGGGGCCCTGCGGCCTTCAAAGCACTGGCGGCGCCCGGGCCGGCCTCCGGATGAGCGGCCCACCACCACCACGGTGGTGGAAGGCTTGATGCGGCCCAGCCTCACCCAGACTCTACTTCCAGCGGCCCCCAGGTAAGTTGAGTTTGAGACCCCTGTTCTAAGGCAACATTGCTTTAGGTTACACCTCCCTAATAATTCTTCTTCATGCGACGCTAAACACATGGCTTCCACAAAATATTTTCTAATGTGCAACTATATCCTTTTTTGTATCCCAACATGTGTCCTGCATCCACTCATATGAACTATCTAAAAGCCTCTTCTGAAAGAACTACTTATGCCAGAAGTTGTATTCAGCTACTGTTTGGCCTTCTGTGGGACTATTTTAACAGACTATTCAACCAGCAATCTCTTAATTCATAGAGTAGTAACAGCACACTCGACCTCACGTGCTCCTGGGAGCAACGGGCTCATGTACCCAAGACCTGCAGCCAGAAGTGTCTGACCAGCTGAATGAGAAGGTATAGTGCTAGGGGTTATGTTATCTAAATCCAAATGGACTGATACAATTAAAACATAATTTTAATAAAAGCTTATATGCCAACTGTCTAAAATTTTATTCATACACTAAGAAATATCTACTCAGCCTGCCAGGAAAGCACTCAGCTGGTGAAAAATATCTGCATTCCATAATTGACAAGAAAGTACAGAAATCCTGCTCCCTTCTCATTTCAGGGGTGGCAAAACTTTTTGAGGGCCAAGTTTTTTCTGGGTTAATCCAAGGGGAACACATCTGGCACTGAGCAGGATTAAAGCCACAAGTGGAGGGGCAGAGTCAGAAGTAGATGAGTCACAACCTTCACTCCATCTTTCTGCCTTTTCTTCTCTCCCTCTCCAGCCTGTGAACTGCAGCTGTAGGAATAGATTGCCTACAGAGAGCTTTTGAAATTTAGCCAAGGGTGGCATGATATAAGGCTGAGGGCTGCAGGTTGCTCACTCTTGTTTCACTGCATGAGAAGGTGCAATGAGAAGTGATGAAACATGACCTCGGGTTCCTTATCAAAACAGGTAATCTGCACTACTGAGCGGTTGGGAGGTAGGCATATATGATGAGCAATTCAAATATGAACAGCAATTTGGTACTCCGTGTCTTGCACTGTTTAACCTATGTCAGTATACAAGCCAGAGAAATGATTTTTTTAAAAATCTGCAAACTTAAAAATGGCAAGACTTGTAGAATCCCTGGGACCTTTTCTTACCTGGGTTGCTTCAGTCCGTGAAAGATCTAAGGCTATTTTTTAAAATCTAGCTATCCATTTACTTTGTTAAAATGGTAGGTAGAAAAATCAATCTAAACATTTTATATAGTTCTGCAACAACATATACACCTGCTTGGATCCATACTTAGTAATACTTTACATTTACTCACTAAAATCAGTACGTTTACACAGATCATTACTGACTGAAATCCCATTGATTTTAATGGGTCTATGCTAAATATAATTACATCTAGATTCAATCCATCATGCATCAACTGCCTATGTATCCAAGTTACTTTCAACTGATATTTCATGATAACCTACTTTAGATGCTTCAGACAAATCAATGTTTCTACACTGCTGATGCCTGTACCCAGATTATTCCATGTCAAAGGAAAGAGGCCAGCTATATTGTTTTCTTCCTGAAAAATCCTAATTCTCATATTCCATTTTTCACATCCTTGTTTATGTTGAGCTTCAAAACATTCTTCCCACTTTTGGAGCACACTACGGCAACATGCAAAATAAAAAAGTTCAGTTTCTCACTTGTACCAATGCATGGCGTTGCTTGCACTAAGAATAAATGGGAAGTGTTAACCTTTCTTAAAGGTTGGAGCAACCTGCTGCTGAGACAGACAATTCTATGAGAGACATAGAATTCTACTTGTAAGAGTAGAATAAAAGTGTTGACTAAAATTATTCATGCTAAATGTTGTTTGTTTCTGATTTGGCAGATAAGACTGCCTAGAGCATACTTCTAAGCTCGGGTTCAAGAAAAAACATGGCAGTGGTTGGACAGAGATTCTAAATCAGAGATACATAGGAAGACACATGAGCAAGCTATCCTGAAATGAACTGAAATGGAACTGAGGAAAGGTTATATTATGGGGATTACCTATTCTTAGTTTAATGGGCCAAGGAAGAACAAGATAGCTGATATTGTCAGTGTAGAGGCAGTACCAGAATGATCTGGAAAAAGAGGCTGAAACAATTTGAAAACACAAGGTTTTGCAGGTTTGCATGTTGGCTGACCTAGGCAGTGGTGTGAAACTGGTTCTGAATGTGGGATCACAGTACAGTGTGTGGCTTGGGGATCACCTTTGCACCATCTTTGTTAACTGAGGTTCAGGTGCCCTTAGTGCTACCAGATGCCTTTTACTGGTGGTCCAGCCATGCTGCTCTCTGCACAAGGATAGCCTGGTTTCAGTACCCTACTGCCTGTTAATCTCTAAACTAGATTACTGAAATGCACTCTGCTTAGGGCAGCCAACAAAGACAGGTTAGAAACTGCAGATTCATAATGAGGCAGCCAGACCCGTAACTCGAACCAGAAAGGTTCCACACACAACATCAATTCTGGCTCACTAGTACTGGCTGTTTATATGCTTCCAAGCTTGATTCAAAGTACTGGTTTTAACCTAAAATGCCTTACATGGTTTGGAATTGCAATGCTTGATGGGATGCCTCTCACCACAAGGTGCCTCAAAAGTCTTCCTCTCCAGATCTTACATAATTCTGCAATGCTTGATGGGATGCCTCTCTCACCACAAGGTGCCTCAAAAGTCTTCAGATCTTACATAATTCTATATGCCTCTATCATATCTTCCCTTAACTTATTTCCAAACTAAGCAAGCTGTTGTAAACTTTCCTTATAGAAGAGTTTCCCCAATCGTGTAATCATTTTAGCTGCTCTCTTCTGCATTTTCTCTAACTCTACAATTTCTGTTATTTGATGCAGTGACCAGAACTGTACACAGTATTCTAAGTCCAGGTATACTATAGATTTGTAGAAAGGCAGTATAATATTAGCAGTTTTATTTTCAATTACATTAAATATTCTCATAGAACTCTGAAAGGTAGGACTGTACTTACCTTTACAGAACTATGTTGAGTTTTTTTCCCAGCAGGACTCATTCATCCATTTGTTTACTAATTCTATTTTAATAATGCTTTCAACTAATTGAGATTTGTTCTGGAACTGCTATCTCACAAGCTACTCTTGATGGACGCACACAAGGAAGGGCTTCTGAAACCCACCTCAAGGTAGATTCCTATGGAGAGAGGTGCACATTGCGATATGTAATTTATAACTTAAGAAATGCACATGGCCATCTAAAGCTGCCCCCCCCATAAAACGATTAGGACCACGGTCTAAATATTTAAATTACCTAGCTGTACCAATGCATATAACAAATCCACATGCAGGTTACCTCAAACTAGACCTTTGTATCGCGTTTTATGTGAAGCTGCTGTTGAAATTTATTTGGAAACTTCAGTTGGTACAGAATGGCGTCAACGAGATCCTGGTGAGAACCAAAAAGTGGGAAGGCCAAACTCAGATTTTGCCATCGAATTTTGGTTTAAATTCTAGGTGCCAGTCTTAACCTTTAACACCCTAAACAGCACGGATGTAGGGCGTTTACCTCTCGGGTTCTTTAGCCGTGCAATCCTCAAGTGCTGCTGCTGGTGGTGGGGGGGGGGGTTACAATTAGAAGGGCTTGCTGAGGTGGCTGATCACAGGAAAGAAAGGTCAGGCCTTTACAGCGTTGCAAATGCACACCTGGTTTTTACGACACTGCTGAGGGGGTTACGTGTTCTCTAGGTGTTGTGCAGGCTCCTTACAACGTTTGAACAGGGACTGTCGCGTCCAAAGTCCTCGCCCAGGTTTTGACTTTAGCAAGCGGCCTCTGCCAACGCTAGCAATAAGGCAACGCACGGAGCATGCACGCTCCTCCGCCGAGCCCGCCCCTCGCGCGCTCCTCCGACGGGGCTCTCCTCGGCGCCGCCTCGCGGGGTCGCTTGGGAGGAGGAGGCGGCGGAAGTTTCGTTCGTCGGAGAGAAAGAGCGGGTGAAGAAGCGCCATGGCGGCTTCCACTAATAGCGGCGGCGGCCGGCGGGCAGATAACGGCTGTGGAGCCACTGGGCAGCAGCCGGCGGGCTCCCGGCGGCGGAAAGGCCCTGGCGCCTTAGCCACGGCCTACCTGGTCATTTACAACGTGGTTATGACGGCCGGGTGAGAGCACTGGGGAAATCTTGGCAGGCGGCGATACTGAGGGGGGCATGGTGGGGACTAGGTTCCGCCGCAGTTAAGGGGATGGCGGCGTTTGCCCGTCCGGGTGGGCCTTCCTCTTTCATGTGAATAGACCCGGGGACCACCCCCCTCCCGGCACGGTTTTCTTTTCTTTAGAGGCGGAGAAGCTCCTGGTATCTCCGCCCTTCCCGCAGCCTGCTCGCGTCCCTCCATTGTAAGAGCAGTGGGTGGATCTCCCCTTTCGAGGGTAAGGGGGAAGACAAATGTTGGAAACAGGCGCCTGAACGAAGGGGGACCTTGACCTCTGATCCAGCAGGTTTATGGTGTTTTGGGGATAATAGTGTCTTACTCTGGTTCTCGGTTTTGACTGGGGCTGCTCTCCACATTGCCTCTTTAAATGCTGTAATGATGCAGCCTGTACATTTGTCAGATTAAAATGAATGGATTCCATTGGCCTCTTTCAAAAGGCCATAGGAATGCACAGAACATCCAGGTAGTCGGTGGAATCTAGTTATGCAGCACGTCTCAAACCTTCGTTTTACTAAGATACATAAACTGTGGAGCCAGGATTGGTAAATACCTATTTGCTATCATCTAAAGGACACAGTGCAGTCTGGACTGGTTCTTGAAAACTTAGGTAAGGACACCAAAGTGGACTTTATTTGCAGCCACCTCGTAGTCCTGCCTCTTTTTCTATACATGCACATACATAGGTTCTGTGGCCAAGTAAGTTGGCAGGACTGATATTCCTAAAAGCTACTGTGGTGGTGGCTGATATGTGTGCATGTGGCAAGTTATGCTGTTGCCATACTAGTCCATGCAGTGCGCAGGATAAAAACAGTGGAAGTGGGTGCAGAGTCTGCTGGTGGCATAAGCTGCACAGGGGAAGAATATTTAAAATCTCCTGCTTTATGAAAGTGGGAGTGGCAAGAGAACTTAACATTAGCATGACTATCCTCATGTGTGTCACTGGATTTAATATCTTAACACTTAACTTTCTGAGGGATGTATCCTTGGTGTAGTTTGTGGCCCATTAACATTATAGTGAATTCCTTTTTGCAGAGCAGTAGGTATGTTTGAAGAGTGTTACTTACCTATGGATTCATAAAATGTTTCCTGTATACAAAGGAGCATTTTAATTCATGAAGAAAGTTTAGATGGAGTATTACTAAGCAAACATACTTCCTATGTAGACACTTAGTACTTGTGTTTATAATTACATAGGTATTTCTTGAAAATAACTAATCTAAATATATCCTACAGCATGGAGGTGATTTTGGTATCAATTGTTAAGTAATCTTTAGTACTAAAGGTGCTTTCTATAAGTAATACCTAGACAAGAGTTTTTTGCCATTGTCTTTTACCTTTCATCCTTGTTCTGTTTGGGTGCACGTGTGGGTGTGGGGGCAATATTTCAGAAAACCAAACCATGCTGGAAAAAAGCCAGGGTGAAGAAATCAGATTATGTATCATCTACAATCTCTTGTTGCTTCACAGTGCATTAGACCAGCTGTAACTTGATATGTTGTCATGAGTAGATCTGAAAAGGGTGTTGCAATTTGGAAGGTATTTAAATGCATAATGCAAAGAACTTTCAGCATTACTCTGAAAGTCAGTTGGTGTGGGAGAAAGATAATATTGGAAGGGTAAAGAGATAGATAATAGCAGGAGTTGAGGTTTGGATTCATCAAATGCACCAGTTTTTTCTCTATAAACAAATTACTTGGGGGGTGTTGTCTTTACTTAGTATCTTAATCAGTGTACTAAAAAATTTCACATTAGGCAATCTACCATGAAATACAGCGAACTTTGAAATTATCTTTGTGGGATATGGCAGATTAAGAAAAACCTTGAGTGATCAGACTAAAGGTCCATTTAGAGCAGGGGTGGGCAATTAATTTTCCTATGGGGCCACATGAGAAACATTGACAGTTGTTAAGGGCCAGACCAATACACTTACAGCTCTGCTCAATATATATCTCTATTGATATATATTTTATAAAGTCTATAAAAACAGTAAATGAAACATTACAATGATACAATGAAAATGTGGAGCACAGAACAACACTATTAATTTAGCAGATCTTTCAAAATAAAAGCAGTGCAGTTGTATTGCTTGCATCTATATTATGACGATATATATTTGCATTGACTTTTAATTTGCCAGTGACCTCATGCAGGCCAGTCAGGGTCAGCCATCGGGCTGGATGTGGCCCGCGGGCCGTACAATGCCCAAGTCTGATTTAGAGCAATATTTGCTTTTTATGGTTGTCAGCCCGATACCACTGGAAACTGCAAAAACAGGGCATTGGTTCCCCCATCCCTGTAGAATCTGTTCAGTGACATGCTGCCTTTAATCCACTGTGTTGATGATCTATTCCCCCACACATGCCTCCTCAGCTCACATTGCCTGCACCTGAGCTGATGGAGAAGTCTTAGGTGTGCCATGGAGTCTCCAGGTCATACTGCTTTGGGTTCATGTGTCAGGCACTATTCAGCATTTCATAGCTGCCATGACAGCTGTGGACTGTGACCCCTTTCCTGCAACTTCTCCATTGCAAATCATGCTTTTGCTGCACCCAAAACCACATTAAATTTGGACGTCTCAATTTCCAGTCCTGAATTTGCTCCTGACATGAAGGTTTCTTCATCCTGTTGCTAATTGCAAAGTTGCATCCAACCCACTGCGACCCCATGGACAACATTCCTCCAGGCCTTCCTGTCCTCCACCATCCCCTGGAGTCCACTTAAGCTCACACCAACTGCTTCAGTGACTCCATCTAGCTACCTCATTCTCTGCTGTCCCCTTCTTTTGCTGTCATTTGTTCCCAGCATTAGGCTCTTCTCCAGTGAATCCTTCCTTCTCATTAGGTGATCAAAGTATTTGAGTTTCATCTTCAGTATCTGGCCCTCTAAAGAGTAGTCAGGGTTGATCTCCTCTAAGACTGACTGGTTTGATTTCCTTGCAGTCCAAGGGACTCGCAGGAGTCTTCTCCAGCACCACAATTCAAAGGCCTCAATTCTTCGGTGCTCAGACTTCCTTATAGTCCAACTTTCACATCCATACATTGCCTCTGTTAGGTCCCTGCCATTTTTGTCCTTTATCATGCCCATCTTTGCATGAAGCATTCATATCTCCAATTTTCTTGAAGAGATCTCTGGTCCTCCCTATTCTGTTCTTCTATTTCTTTGCACCGTTCATTTAAGAACGCATTCTTATCTAGTTATTCTCTGGAATTCTGCATGCAGTTGGGTGTATCTTTCTCTTTCTCCCTTGCCTTTCACTTCCCTTCTTTCCTCAACTATTTGGAAAGCATCCCCAGACAGCCATTTTGCTTTCTTGCATTTCTTTTTATTTGGGATGGTTTTAGTTGCTACCTCTTGTACAATGTTGTGAACCTCCATCCATAGTTCTTCAGGCACTCTGTCTATCAGATCTAATTCCTTAAATCTATTTGTCACCTCTACTGTATATTCATCAGTATTTGTTATTTGTTATTTGCTTTTCGGCGCCAGGCCAAAACCTTTTTATTTAAACGTCATTTTAATTGTTGATTTTATTTATTGATTTTAACAACTTTGGCCAGGATGTCTCCAACTGTATTTTATTGTACTAATGATATTTATTTATTTGTAAGCTGCCCCGAGGCTTAGGCAAATGGGGCTGCATATAAGTCTGCTAAATAAATAAATAAATAAATAAATAAATAAAATCAGGGATATGAATTAGGGCATACCTGAGTGGGCTAGTGTTTTTCCCTACTTTCTTCAGTTTAAGCCTGAATTTTGCAACAAGAAGCTCATGATCTGAGCCACAGTCAGCTCCTGGTCTTGTTTTTACTGACTGTATATTGCTTCTCCATCTTTGGCTGTAGAGCACATAGTCAGTCTGATTTCTGTGTTGACCGTCTGGTGAAGTTCATGTGTAGAGTCGTCTCTTGGGTTGTTGGAAAAGAGTGTTTGCTATGACCAGCGTATTCTCTTGACAAAATTCTGCCAGCCTTTGCCCTGCTTCATTTTGTACTCCCAAGGCCAAAGTTTCCTGTTATTCCAATTATCTTTTGGCTTCCTACTTTAGCATTCCAATCTCCCATGATGATAAGGACATCATTTTTTTTGGTGTTATTTCCAGAAGGTGTTGTAGGCCTTCATAGAACCGGTCAACTTCAGCCTCTTCAGTGGTTGGGGCATAGACTTGGACTATTGTGATGTTGAATGATTTGCCTTGGATTCGAACTGAGATCATTTTGGAGCTTGTATCCCAGTACTGCTTTCCCTACTCTTTTATTGACTATGAAGACTAGTCCATTTTTTCTGGGGGATTCTTGCTCTCAGTAGTATACCTGATGGTCGTCTGAATTAAATTCACCCATTCCTGTCCATTTTAGTTCATTGATTCCTAAGATGTCGATGTTCAGTCTTGTCATCTCAGGTTTGACCACGTCCAGCTTGCCTTGATTCATGGATCTTACAGTCCAGGCTCCTATGTAGTATAGATCTTTACAGCATCAGACTTTCCTTTCACCACCAGATACATCCACAGCTGAGTGTCCTTTCAGCTTTAACCCAGTCGCTTCATTCTTTCTGGTGCTTCTAGAACTAGCCTGCTCTTCCCCAGTAGCATATTGGACACCTTCTGACCGGAGGGGCTCATCTTCCAGCATCACATCATTTTGCCCTTTAGAACAGTCCATGGGGTTTTCATGGCAAGGGTATTGGAGTGGGTTGCCATTTCCTTCTCCAGTGGATCAACTTTGTCAGAGCTCTCTGCTATGACCTGTCCACTTTGGGTGACCTTGCACGGTATAGCTCATAGCTTCATCGAGCTGCAAGCCCCTTCACCACGGCAAGGCAGTGATCCATGAAGGCAACATCCTACAATCTGGTAATTTGTTTGGTTCAAGTCATATGAATCACTCATTGGCTTAAATATCTGAACATTTCAATAATAGTAGGACATTGAACATATCAAGCTATTCATTTTTGTTACTTGTAACTTTTTAAAAAGGTAACACTGCATAATTTTTTTCTTCTATAGGCATCTTTTCAGGATAATAGCTCCAAATTGTATGCAATAGTATCTAAACAAATCTAGTGAAAATCAGTATTAACACCCATTCCTTCAGGAGACAATTGTGTTATATCTTCCCTTAGTTTAGTTCACTTGGTATTTAAGAGAACTTAAAGTGAAAGGTATATTAGCATATTTCTTCTGTGATCATCTTCACTAAGGTATAATATGTATTCAGTTTGTAGAAAGGATTTCATGCTTGGGGTCCAAAGTGTGTGGGAATGCTTAAGATCATATCTTACAATGACCATCTATAATGAAAGTTTGCTTTGCTTTCTTTTACAACCAACACCTCTCTCACTTTTAATAGCAATACAGTGTGAGTGTTGTTGTAATAGGCTATATTTAATTACACTAAATATAAAATACTCCTTTTTATCCTTATTTTGTATCTATGTGGAGGAGAATAAATACATAAAATTTCTGCTGCTTTAAGATAACAGTTTCTTGCTAATACATTCTATTGCGTTGTATGATTTTTTTAATTGTTCTTAGGACCAAATTAGATGTTATACAGGCAAGTTCTTCTCTTTTTAAAATTTAGGATTACTCAGTCATACACATAGTGTGGATATGTCCAGTTTTAAGAACAAAGTGGGTACTATGGGTAGGAAAGTGCCAAACTCTTCTACCACTTGCTGCTTACAACACTCTCTTCCTTGGTGGTTTTCTCTCAGCTGAAAGATTATTGGAGTTGTGTGGAAAAAATGATAATGATGCACTGGCTTCAAAGCAGTAAGGTGTGGCCAGATGGAGGGAGGTCTGCCCTGTGCATCCTCTTCTTTTTTTTTTACAATCAGATTTCATAATAACTGTAAGCAGTCATTGAAAAGGCTGCTGCTATTTAATTTGGCCCATATCAGTGGCATTCCTGCTGTCAGCCCTTATCAGCGCTGTTTCTCTGTAGGCACTAAGAACATCATATTTTGATATATTTTGTTTTCTAGATGGCTTGTTATAGCAGTTGGCTTAGTCAGAGCATACCTCGCTACAGGCAGCTACCACAACCTTTACTATTCAATAGAAAAGCCTTTGAAGTTCTTCCAAACTGGAGCCTTGCTTGAGGTAGGTGTGTTCCAGGGAATGCACCCTTTTGCACATTGTTTCACTGCCATTAGTCTTTCCTGCGCATTTTAGTTACAAACTTGCTTCCTTGGTGTTGCATTCAATACTTTTTGAACTATTAGTGAGTAAAGGCTTATTCCATCACATTGTAAGTAGTCTGACATGTGATACCTTTCAAAAAGCAACATAGAAGGTTTGACTTTTCATACTGAAATTATGTTTTTCAAGTTAATTTGTTTTCTGAGGTTCTGCCCTCTTGTGGCTGTTTTTGCAGAATGCAATCAGTTTTAAAAAAAATAACATTATTTTTCTTCTTACTGTGAAAAGAGATAAAACTTTCAAGCCAAGAGAACATAGGACCCCATTTAACTAAGGGAAGTTAAATCCTCTTTAGAGGGGTATTCCCTTTTTATCTGAAATGTTCCTCTGCAGTGTTGGACCCAAGACAGGGATGGTTTTACTGTGTGGTAGCTGAAAAGCTAGTCCTACTAGTATGTGACAGACCTGGTGGTATTCTAAGGGGGATTTAGTAAATTGTCCTTAACATACGTGTTTCTGAAAGTTGGTTGCACAACAAAGAAAAATGTAGATGAGGAAATTAGGCACTGAACAGATGAAAGATGCGCATGTAACAGAAACGACAGTACTGTTCTTAGTCACAATACAGTCTGCTGTTGCAATAAAGCCAATGTATGTTGCTAATTGAAAAGTCTTAGTTATTACTGACTGAAATGCTCTTTTTGTTTTAGATCGTGCACTGTGCAGTAGGTAAGATTTTGTGATTCCATGTTTCATTTCTTTATTGTGTATGGGGAGAGGGGAATTCAGAAAGCTAGTCAGTTTAGGTTGCAGTGCAGTGTCCTCTGCCTCTGGATTCAAAGACATCCCATGCATGGCATGACACATGGGGGCAGTCCTTGCTGTGCCCTGTGCCTGCACCCTGCATTTCATTCACTCAGCCATCCAAAGGAAGCACCCTGGAGGGGGGCTAGGGCGCCATGTGTAAATGGTAAAACCTGTTGGCTATAGCCTTTTCCACTGCATGCTCCTCCACCTGCATGCCCCCTTGCTCGACTCAGCAAGCCTGATTCACAACCTCGGAGAAGCAGCCAGCATAGTTCTTTCCATACCAGCTGTGGGGCGGGGGAGCAAGTGTAGAGCATTAGGATTTCTAATTCTAAGTCCACAGGACCTCGGATATTTACCACTGTATAGTTGCCTATTGCAGTGAAAGTATGTTAGGAATTGAAATAGCAGTCTCATAAACAATCCCCACATAAAAGTGTAGTCAGTATATGAGGTACTATATGTAAAATACATGGAAGAATTCTGCTGTTCCCAGCAGCAGTCAAGTGTAATTGCTATTGTCCCTCTTCTATCTGAGGAGAGTTCTGTTTCAGCAAAAACAATGATTGGTTGTTGAGAGAAAAAATGTCAATTCACAATGCGTTTCTTATAAAACACAAGAGTTGCCTTACTGGTTTAAACCATAGGTTGTTTTGTCCAGTACTTGGCACCAATAGTAATTCGACATACATCTGGAGCCTCACAAGTAGAGCATGTTGAAGATAGCTATTATCAGTTTTTTGCACCTAATAATCAAATAGAAAATGGGTCACCAGTTATCACTAAGTGTTATTACTTTGACTTCATTCAATGCTTCAGTCTTGCAAGGGTATATTTGTATACTTTTATAGCCAAATGGTTCTCTAGACAGTTTACATAATAAAAAACCAGCAACATAAAACATCGTAAGTACACAATTAAAACCACAGTACCAATAATAACAAAATGTAACATCATAGCAGGAACACCAAGTAGTTTAAAAACAGATTGGAATTATCTTAAATGTCACAAATGAGAATACTATAATTTGCATTATAATATAATTAAAATCAAATCCCAACTAAAATCATCAACAATTAAAATGCTGCTTGAATAAAAGCATCTTAGTTTGGCACTGGAATATGTATAAAGATGGCACTTGACAAATATCTCTTGGAGGTTGATTCCATCGATGGGGTGCCACAACTGAGAAGGTCCTGCTGGGGGGTAGCCATTTTCCTAGGTTTCTTTAGAGACAGTTTCCTGGAGCAGGACCTCTGATGATGATCTCAGGGTCCAGGTAGGATTATATGGATGGAGATGTTCTTTCATATATTCAGGTGCTAAATTGTTGAGGGCTTTATATGTCAAAACAAGCACCTTGAAGCAGGCCTAGACTTCAATGAGCAACCAGTGTAATTCACAGAGAACTGGTGTTATATGTTTCGTACTATTAGTCCCCATCAAGAGCCTAGCTGCTCTATTTTGCACCAACTGTAATTTTCAGACCGTTTTCAAGGGCAGCCCTATGTAGAACTTACTACAGTAGTCCGACTGAGAGGTTACCAGAACATAGATTACTGTTGCTAGGTCTTGCCTGTACAGATAATGGTCAAAGTTGATAAATTAACCGGAGCTGATAGAAGGGACTCCTGGCCACTGAGTCAACCTGGTACTCCAGGGACAGCTCAACCTCCAGAAGCACCCCCAAGCTCCAGATCCTGTCCTGTAGAGGGAGTGCAACCCCATCCAAGACAGGGCAGATATCCTTCATCTGGACATGGGAGCCACCTACAAACAAAACCTCTGTCTTGTCTGGATTAAGTTTCAGTTTGTTGGCCCTCAGCCAGCCCATCTTCTGCTTCAGATGAATTGTAGTTTGTTGTGATACCTGATCCCTGAAAAATAGCAATTGGTTGTAACTATGATTAGTGAAAATAAACCAACTTCATACCATAGTTTATATAGCAGATAGCTTTTCAATACACTTAAAGTGTTTTTAGAATACTGTTATTACTATAAGATATAGTGTAAAACTTTTCTAGAGGGCTGAAACTGAGCATATATACCAATCCTAAACTATCTTTATAGGGATTGTTCCCTCTTCTGTTGTCCTGACTGCTTTCCAGGTGATGTCAAGAGTTTTTCTGACATGGGCAATAACCCATAGCGTAAAAGAGGTAAGTTGAAATAAAGAGGTTGTCCAGTTTTCTTCAAATCTTTTATATCTGGTGTTCCTTTATAGTGTACCTGTTTTGTGTATTCTGTGGGCATCTGTGCGTAAACTATTTGCGTGTCATGAAATGTGTAACCAATATCAATTAATGTACTATCTCAATAATATACCATAGTGCTGGTTTCCTGGCAATCTGCCATCTCTGTAAGAAGAGGTTACTGTAATACAAGATTTCCCTTGTAGAGAAAGAAGGATTGTAATGCTGGATAAGGGGGTCAGATAGGCTGTATGTGAAATATTTATCAATATGCTCTTCAACCATAATATCTCCTTTTTTTTAGTGCCCTGTATATTCAACTAGCTTGCTCTGTTATTAGCAAAGAGAGAAGGAGCAAGAAGAGGAGACCGATAGCATGTCTGTATTTTCAAGGCATCAATGCATTATTTTTGCACTATTTTAATTGTGCAAAAATAATGCAGTTATTTGCATTACTGACTGGAAACTATTATCTTAGTAATAAATGTAATAAGAATTGAACTGCATACCATCAGATTCCAAATATTTAGGCTTGTAATAGTATAGTCGTGGTATTCATCCTGCAGTGACAAACCCATTGAGACAAATAACTATAATGAAAAACTTGGTGACAAATACTTAAAACATACTTCTCTTCAGAGATGAAAGTTATGTACATTATTTTGCTTTTTTTCTGAAGGGATAGCAACGTACCTGTGCCCCCTGAACAAGTTCTGCTGTTACAAATATTGTAAGACATGACATGTGGATGCATGAATACTGTGTTCTGTGTTTTGGTGAAATCCTTCATATTATGTTAATGCTCTTTAATGAAAAATACTTAATAGTCTTATTTGTTCAGATTGCTCTTGGATCTAACTCTCTCTTGAAGAAGAAAAAACTGTCTTACATTCTTTTTGATCGGCCTAATCCAGTGTTTACCAGTTGTAGTATATCAAATGTGAATGTTGCTCTTAACTTAGTTTTGCTTATTTCTTCCAGAAGCTTAGTGCCTAATTGCATGGAATAGTTCAGTAATGTTTGAAGAATGTGCTTGTTATTCCTGGGATGGTCAAGTTGTTAGCATGTTGTTGTTTTTCTGTTCCTTAATATTTGAATGCTCTTTCAATAAAATCTCAAGCAAGTCTCCCTAACCTTAGTTTGTATCCTGCTCTCTTAACCTTTCAATATGGAATGAAAAAGTGGTCTTAAACCTGGGAGGACTGGAAAAGCAAAAATAAATTACTGAGGCAAAAAATCAAAATAATACCATATCCTATGTGTTTTATTTGATTGGCTTAAATCAGCATAGTAAGCAGATTAAATGTTTGCCTTCATCCAGGCATGTCCTTTTCAATGTACCTTAGTTTCAAAGTAACAAGTTGTTTATTAGTTACTTTGGCTAGATTATATTGGATTTACTTGAATCATCAGGTATTGTTCTGTACTAATAGATTTCAAATTTCTAGGCTCTTGCCATGAAAATTTATATTGGCATAGTTCCAAATGCTGTATACCTTTTCCTCTGAACACCTCAAGAACAGTTTGCTTTAAACATGGCTGTGCTGTTGGTTTTCCTGCCAGAGCCTAAGGTACCAGTTGTAACCCCAAGAAAGTTCATTATTTTAAAATTTAGAGGCCCAAAATCGTCTAGGCATATGCACCTAGCCTAAGAAAATCCATAGAAGGCACATGATCTGATTCTCGGTTTTATCACTTTCAAATCCTGTTGCTTTGATGCTTATTTCAGTGGTTTCACTCTTTAAGGATTGGTACTGCTAAAATTGTTCTGTTCAGTTAATATGGTTTGTTGACAATATTCAGTAGGTGGAGAGTTGAGACCTGTTTTCTGGAATGCCAGGAACTGGATAGACTTTTAATTTGCAGAAGAGAATAGACAAAGCTTATCACTGAACTACAACACTAGCCTCAGGAAATACAAAATATTTCTGCAAATTTGTTAACTTTCAAATGATTTGGCCAGCATGAACTTGTTATCAGCACTACTTAGTTTTCAAAAACTAGTCTGGGGCAGGTCTTTAAATGCTTTCTGACTCTGGTGGAGTCACAATTTGTGCTTTACTATTATTTTAGTAATTACAATATTCTCACAATTGTGGATTGATGATGTAGTGTACTTAAATGTCAGTTCTGGGGGAGAGAGAACTGAATTTCATTTTGAGCAGTGAGTTATCTGTCAGTTTCATTGCATTCATAAACAACCTAGGAGTCCTATAAAGGCTAGCAGTTATAGACTCTGACTATATTGCAGATGGTTTTTAAGCAGTAGGATATCTTAATGTCACTTGTCAAGTTTTTTATTTTTCTCAACTGAAGAAGGAAAATGGCTAAACTGTACATAAAATAATACTCTGTATCATCAGTAGGTATCACTAAATAGTATGAAATACACCAGTTTTAGAAGAATGTTTGTTGATAATAACCACCTAACTAAATTTAAAGTTAAATGGACATCAGCAGTGTTTATGAGGTTTTGAAAAAGTAACAGCAAGCATAGTAGTGAACCAGGACTGCAGCATACAGGGATGAAGTTGCATCCCATCAACAGTGGAATTTCCAATTTCTAAAGTGCCAATAAGTAGCCTAAGTCATATCAAGTAATCTCCATAGTTCTTTGACCTTTTCTTAAACTATCGAAAATGTATCTAGCCATAGGTCCCTTAAGCACTACCCTTCCTTCTTTAAGATGTATGAATTTAATATTTGAAGTGACTGAGTATCTTTGCTTCCCCACTTCTCTAGCTATTTTGAGGTGCTATTAAAAAAGTAATAGCAAGGGAAATTGAAATCTGAAAAGTGGTGCAAAATATAGCAAGATCTACAAAGTACATTGGAGTGAAAGAAGTTGAGCATGAATACTGTGCACTTGGATGAAAGATGGCTCAGTAGCACATTTAAAAATGCACAATATGAAAACACAGACAAATTGCCTTGGAAGGCATACTCCCTGGTCAGTTCCAGCAACAGAAGCTGATATTTTTACAAACCTGAACTTCTTTATTTGTTCCCCAGAGACTAGCTTGTCTCAGATATTTACCACTTTCTTTTTTCATGACGTAAGTAAAAGCAGAATTGAAATGACCTCTTCATTTCTCTATGGAAAAACTACAAATTTCTTTCTTTGTGCTGAACACACTCTTTTTAATTTTTTATTGTTTTCTTAAATAACATGCAGAAAAGGAATAAAATGTTTAAAAAAGATAGTACTAAAGGATCTTATACAACTATAACATATAAATTCATAGCCTGCAAATTCCTGAAAATGAAGAAATTTCCATCCTTCCATCACTTGTGCTGAACACACTCTTACAAATCAATTTTAAAAGTCACTTTAGAAAAATGGCACAAATTTTATTTAAAAGTAATGGTAAAATTTTAAAATGATATGATCATAGTTCCTGAAAGACATGAACATACACCTGGGTAGAGAGGAAGAAAAAACATTCAAAGAACTAATTAAATAATGGAGTGGTTGTTTCAGTGTTGGGAGATCAGGGAACAAGTAAAAAGTTAATTAAAACTGCACTTCTACAAGGGTATGGGCAGAACTGACATACATTTGCCAGACTGAAGTAACTCAAGCCAGAAAAAGGGGAGAAGGAGAAAATATCAATTCGTTAAAAGCCACAATGGAGGAGGGGAGTGAGACAAAGCTTCAATTTCAAATTCTATTATTCCTTTGAAGAAACAACATAACAAAATAAATTAAACAGCATTTTTATAAAGGATTAAAGTGATTGTGAAAGGCTTGAGGGAAGAGGCAGGGTACAAAATGCTGCCCAAACCTGGTCATACCCACTGTGTAGACAGAATATAGTAGGATGTATGATGTACATGGGGTGTGCATATGTTTATAAACAACAGGTATGGATGTTTGGTTGAGGTTTTGGATATAGCAGAGAACTAACAGCATCCCACATAATCAAAGCCCTTATCATACAAAATAAAAATTCTGTGCACTAAAAAGTTTTGCATGCTTATTTAGGTCTGAGTCTGCAGGGTTTTTTTATGGAGTTGATCTACAAACTTTGCTTTTAATTAATATCCCTGCTAGACAGAGGTGGGTAGTTCTTGTTCTCAAATTGCAGAACTAGAGAAGAACAATATATAATGCAGTGTGGCATATATTATTCATCTTGCAAACCTGCTAGAATTAACATCAGCATTGCAGCTAGAGTTGCAGGGTGCAGTCCAATCATTACATTTAACAGGATAGACAAAACTGGATTTTTAGGGTCTGTGCTTATGTTACTATGATGGTATGGGAGCCACAATACCACCAATATAGCCTGACAAGGTCCTCATTAGAAAGCAGGCTGTCTCTTGAATAATTCTGTTTCTTCCTAGCCCATAAAGCAGTCGTGTGAGGAGGAGCCATCGTATTAGCTGACATTTAGAGTAATTTTGTAAAATGTTGAACAGCCAGAAACTGAAGAATGGAAGCATACTTTTATTTTTCTGTTTATCTACTTTATTAGATAATGGGATCTGAATGTTTGCTGAGCTGGGGGATAATGATGATGATGATGAGGAGGAGGAGGAGGAGGAGGAGGGGATTATTATTATTATTGCATTACATTTATATCTTGCCTTTTCCTCGCATGCAAGGAGCCCAATGCTCCTTTATAGCTCCACTATATTCTCCACAGCTGCAACCTGACTGGCCCAAAATCACCCAGTGGCCTTCATGCCTGAGTCAGGACTAGAACCTGGTGCTGCTAGATGCTCCAGCACTCTTAACAGTCATACCACACTGGCACATTGGGGGTGACAAGTTTTGGATCATGGATTGACAGGGAGGGCCTTTCAGCATTGCCTACTTTGGTTATTTTTCTGTGAGGGGCTTCCATGCTACTGGGTTAATGTTAAAGGACTTAGGGTCATAGAAGCAGGCTTATTATGCTGGGTTAATGTTAAATGACTTAGGGTCATGGATGCAGACTTATTGTCAAACTGAGTCATTTGACATTTACCTCAACTGCACAGCATTCTGATAGAAAAGGGACTACAACTCAACTAAGGTAAAGTTTAAAGGGTCCCCTGCCATGAGTTCCTGTGTCTTATATTCAGGTGTTAAAAAGGCACTTGTTTTTCAAGGCTTATTTCAGCTTGTATTCTGTTCCTTGAATGCAATAAAGTAGTCTGTTTTTGAAGTCATTACTGTTGGGGAAAAATGGATTATTTTTTAAAACAACCCCCCATAATTTAATAGATAAGAATCTCTGTGTTAATATTGACATTTTTTGGAATGACAACTGGCCTAAGACCTCTATTTGTGTAGGTCCATAAAGCACAATGCTGCTGCCTGGGGATAGAGATTATAAAACATAGTGTGGCATGTTAAAGAATTTATAATTTATTTTCAACTTTCAACAGCTGCATTTTTTTTATTAGGTACAAAGCGAAGACAGTGTTCTCCTCTTTGTTATCGCCTGGACGATCACAGAGATAATCCGTTATTCCTTTTATACTTTCAGTTTATTAAACCATCTCCCTTATATCATCAAATGGGCCAGGTAAGGACATTAAACTTAAACAGTTCACCAGTACTGGACTGAGAAACTATTCATCAGCAGAAATATTTTTCCTAATAATTACATGAGGGTGGAAGTAAGAGAAATTAGTCTTACAAGTAAGAAAAGTGTTAACGTATAATTGGCAGTGCCCAGCACTACCTATTTATGGATGGGACCACTGCTGCTTCCAATTTGCAAGCCCTGCTGCTTCTGTGGCACAACTGGCCTCCAATGCTTGCTTAACAGAGATTTAGGCAAGCCCCAAAATAAACACAAATGCTAGTTTTTGGAAAAGAGGAAGTTAGCAGGTCTCCTTTATGCTAACTTGTCCCATTCTAGAAACTAATGTCTTTTCTCATTTTGGGTAGCTCCTGGAAGCACAGAATCTCCATTGCATAAGCAGTGGGCACAGCTATGCATATGGCAGTGAGGGAGGGGGAGAGATTAGTCAGGAATGGGCAACCACAGAGGAAGGTTTAACCTGTCCCTCATGTGTCACATCCCAGAGTGCCTGTAGGAGCTTTCCCCTGATTCCAAATAGCAACACCACAGGGTGTTATATAAGGATCACGGCACAAAATAAAATAAAATTTAAAAATCCCCTAACCCCATGCATGTACTGGAGCCTCAGTCCTGACATAGACCTTCACCCCACTTTGGCAGCTACTATTTAAACTTTTTAAAAGAATCGTGCAACCCAAGGTTATGTGATATGCCTTTAAAATACTTTCCAGAAAATGTTCAGTTTTATTAGAGCTCTATATGAAACCTTCTTAATATTCTTAAGTAATGTGCCCAGTCTTAAACATTCACACAAGTAAGAACAGATAATTCATTGGAAATTGTGAAGACATTTAAACCTCTTCTAATACAGTATATCTAACTGGAACTATGTCACAAATAGTTCTATTTTAAATTACCTTTTTTACTGTTATTGGATTTATCATTGTCTTTAAATTATTTATTAATTAGATGCCTTTCTCAGAAAAGGCTGAAGTATTCTTACAAACAGCAAGATTTCTTTATTGCCACTGCACTCCTCTTTGTCAATTTCCTCTTAACTCTCCCCCCCCCCTTTTTTGCTAAGAGCGTGATTTTAAAAAAGAGAGACAAAAATGTGTCCCTTTGTCTTGTCGGCAAGCTTTCAGATAGGCAGAGACCCCTTGAGGGAAGCACATATAATCTTCAATCCTGTACCTGTCTAGTCAAATGTTGATCACATTGAGTTCAGAAAATTTTCTCCCAAGGAAATGTAGCTATCAGGGGTAGGCACCCTGGTGCTTTCCAGATGTTTGGACTACAGCTCTCACAGTCCTGACTCTTAGCCATATTGGTTGAACCTTATGGGAGTTTGAACTCCAAACATCTGGAGGGCACTAGGTTGTCTGTCTTTTGATTATAGGCTTGCATATAGTTTTAGATACCACAAAGATAAGACTGTAGCTTTGAATTACCCAGAATTTACCCAATAGACAACCCACAGCCTCTCTCAAGTAATTAAACATAATCCATATTAATTCAGATATTAAATTGAAACTTCTGTTCTCATGTACCATGTAATCTCATTGAACTCAGTGGGACTTATATTTGAGTAAGCATGCCTAGAATTGCACTGTGAGTCTGCCTCTCTGATTTTTATGCCTATATAAATGTTTGTCTTTTAGGTACACACTGTTCATTGTACTGTATCCAATGGGAGTTTCAGGAGAATTGCTCACAATATATGCTGCTTTGCCCTTTGTGAGGCGATCCAATTTATATTCCATTAGCTTACCTAACAAATACAATTTCTCATTTGACTACTATACATTCCTGATCCTGACCATGTTATCCTATATTCCAAGTAAGTGTATTACCCAGTTAAAATTGTTATGTGCTTGAGAATCCTATGTGTCTAAAATTAGTTTAGAATGCCGAGAGTCCTTTTGTGTCTTAGCTTCCTGTATTTGAGTATTCCAGAATGAGCAAACATTAACAGCAGTGGGAATTGCAATAGTGAAAAGTAGCCATACATGTCAGTGCACAGAGTGTGCGTGGTGGAAGGGTGGAGCACAAGGGCCTTTTTGAACTTTGCCCCAGTCTTACTAGTATCACACAATTGGCTTGTCCCTGGCACTTGCGGAATTCTTGGCTCTCTTGATCTTTTCTATAGGCATATAATAAAAGACAAAATAAAATGCAGGGAATATATCTTTGTTACAACTGATCGTTCATTCAGGTTCTTGTACACAGATAGAATTTTGGTGTCAGCATTAATAGAGCATAAGAAATTTCTGAAACAGAACATTTAACTTCAGTTGCTGTGATACATATAAAAATGTTTTGAATCAAAGATGATGCATATCCAACAGTATATAATGCTGGCATATCTGAGAGTGCAGCAGTTTCTTTGATCAGTAGCTGTTAAAACTCAAATCTGTCAGCCCTGCGTGGCAAATGCATACAGTTGCAAAATACAGCAGTGCCCTCAGTCTCTTTTGTGCATTTCATTCTAGCAGTTAATACAGAATTGACCAGGAGGCAAGGGATAGAAAGAGTCTAACTGCGCCTAAAAATAGAGTGACCAATGTTGACTTCTAAGCAACAAATTTTTATTTTTTATTTAAATTTTTATTGTAAGCCATCCAGAGATCCCTTTGGGATATGGGGCAGCATATAAATATAGCAGTGCCTCATACTTCAAACTTAATTCATTTCAGGAGGCCATTTGAACTCTGCATCATTTGAAGTCCAAATTAATTTTCCCCATTAGAAATATTGGAAAATCAATTAATCTGTTCTCAGATCCTAAACAATACCATTTCAGTAAACTTAAACAGCAAATACGACCTCCTGAAACAAATTAAGTTCAGAGTTATATATGAGGTGTGATCAAAAAATTCGGCAAATGTTTAAATAAAATATAGTAAAAGACACATTGCCATTAATCCCCCTCAAAATACTCCCCCTTGCTTCGAACACACTTAACCCCTTGTTCTTGCCACTTTTTGAAGCAGTTCTGGAAGTCCTCTTTTCTGAGTGTCTTTTCTTGCACTGTCATGGCTGCCTCAATGTCCTGAATCGAGTCAAGACGAATTGATTCGGGTCAAGACAAGTTGATTGGAGTCAAGACGAATTATCCTTTCTTGCTGTGTTTTTACCAGTATGTTCAAAAAGAAAAAATAAATATTTTGCATTTTGTGAGATATGATATATGTGAATTCATTATTTTAATTGACCTGCGTATAGATATAATTCTGACTTTTATTTACATAATTCTGTTTTGTTTTTCAGTCTTCCCTCAACTATATTTTCACATGCTACATCAGAGAAGAAAAGTACTTTCACTTACTGAAGAACACAAGAAATCTGAGTAATTTCATCCTTTGGTCAGAATTATGCACATTCACACAGTCACACACACGTTACAGAAACAGAAGCTTATAAGAGTATTGAAATGAGAAAGTCAAAATTAAAAGCTTGGTAAATGACTAAAAATATATTTGAACACCTGCGGTTTTTCAATCAAGTCATCATCCTGTGAAACTGGCTTTTCTGTCTATATATTACAGTTAAACATACTTTGTTATCATTCATTCATTTATTTTATTTTTAATTTATTTGCTAAAATCTTCCTTGATAACATAAGTTGATGGATCGAGTGATCAAGTATTAAGATTATTTTCTTTCTTAAAGCTTGTCTATGTGTCAAATACTTATGTGTGTTGTTGTCAGAAATATTATCAGGAATGTTTTAAACAATTTGCCTAGAACTGCTGTGAGCAGACTGATTAACTCCTACAAAAGACTTTGCTGAGTTTGGATCTGATGAAGCGATACTCCTTGAAATTCTGGGCCTATTGCAATGATTGCGGCAGTAAAATTGGTTTTAATGGCACAACTGAGGGCACATGCTATTAGTGTCTAACATCATGGTCTCCCACAGGATTCTGTAACCCAAAGAGTCCCAACACTGAGGTACTCTGACCTTGGTGCTCAAACTCTGATGGTCAAATCCCCGTCCTGCCCCCCTCTGGCTGGTGTGGAAAGAACCATGTTCCTGCCTCTCTGAGAGCGAAAATACACCTCAGGGAGGGGCAAAGGGGGCATGCTGGGGTATGAGAAGGAAAGGAATCTGGAGCCATCTACCTAGGCTGATTTCTGTCAGTGCTTTAGCCTTTTTCTCACCTCTCCCTTGCACTTGATCTAGGTGTCTGAAAATGGCCATCTAAATGAAGCCTGGGTGAGAAATGGTGATGATGGAGACAGCTACCCTCATACCTTGCTCTGGCCATTGGATGCATGTAAGCCTGCAAGTTTGGAGGCTTACGTGCATATAGGGCAGGAGAATAAGATAACATCCTGAGTAGTATTGCAGAGTGGAGCCTTAAAATAGTACACAGTGCACAACAATGTGTGTTCTAAAGGTGCAACTAAATCTTATTACCTCAAACTTTTCTTGCAGTTCTTGAATGCTTTCCTTACATCGTTTTTCTACTTGACACCCTATTTTACCGAGATGCACACAATATAAATTAATGTGCAACTAACATTGATGTTGGCTGAGAACTATTTCATGTTTTTGAATTAACTATCCAAATATATCAGGTAACTCTGTACAAGTATAATTGAAGGTAAAAACATTTGATCTTAATTTTCAGTTCTATAAGTTATCAAGAAAGCCTTTTCTTTAAACAAGCTTATTTAAAGTTCAAACTGTTTTTAACATCACAACTGAGGTTATTCTTAAAGGCAGTGTTAAGGCTAGCAAATACAAATTTCTTCACAGTGTTCACAGTCAGAGGATGGAGTGTTCACAAAAATAACAGATGAGAAATCTTAATTTTACCAATTTTAATTAAATAATCTGCTTAGACCATCACAGAGAAGTGGGTTCTAGAGCTAATCAGGACAGAGCTTTCCCTAGAAGTTGTCATACTTCAGACACAGCAGGCCAACCTCACTTCTCTGTAGAAGGCAGTCATACTAGGAAAAGTTGAAGGCAGAAGAAAAGGAAGACCAAATAAGAGATGGCTTCAACCGCAGGTGTAACTTGGAAGGGCTGCAGTGGTCTGTTGTGAACAGGACACAATAGGTTTTCATTCATGGAGTTCTAGTAAGCTGGGGACAAATTGACAGCACATAACAATGACAGAATAGTCTGGTAGACTACACTAATGGTTACACTTAGGGCCTTGTTTAACACTTATTAAAATAGCCAGGTTTTCCTTCTGTTTGAAGAAAGCTAAAGTTTAATGATTAGCCCAAGTGGTATGAGAAAAAGAGAAATAATCTGTAACTTCATTCTTTTGATAGTGAGGTCCAATAGAAAATACTATTAGCTTGTTCATGCTTGAATCTTATACCCATTTGCGTCTTTCCTAAAGGTGGCATGCAGGTTATCTCACATTCATTCCATCACATTAATTTTTTTATTAGTGTGTTTTGTTCTGTTACCCTAGGAAAAATAATCATTTGACTCACATTTGGCATTCCTATTCTGTCCGAAGAGGTATTTTTCTTTCAGTCAGCTCAGTTATTTCCTCTGATTCAGATGCACAGTGTCATTGTAGCGTGCAGAATTTATTTCACTGTACCATCTGTAACAACATAGCATCCAGCAGCAGCCTCTACTGTATGATTCATAGCCTGAGACTTGTACAGAAAGTAAATGCACATCCACTTTACTGTTTTGAAGGAAAACAGCGGTTGTACATTAACTCTTTTTTTTTTGCACCTGCTCTGCAAGAATGCATCCTGCATGGGTTGACTACTGTACACAGTGCCCTTAATGGCTATGATGGGTGTAGGTCAAATACAAGCCTTGCATTCTGAATGTCAAGGCCCCTTGTAAGCCTGCAGAAGAAAATGCTGCTTTCATCACTGACATAATTGCAGCTTAGTCACCAGCTCTACACAGAATGGTAGGACATCCACGTGGATGTATTTTAATGTGCTAGATAGGTAGGTTATAGTTTGTATTTACTTATAGACTCTGGTAGTACTCTCTGTAGCTAGCAAGCCAGCTATTACCAGACAGCCGTGTAAACCTCAGGAACTCAGAAGAGTCATATGGTCCATCACTTTAACTTATTGCCTACAGTGATCATTTTTCCTCGTACACGGGAGGAATACATGGACATGATTCAAGATGCCAGAAGTCTCTGCCTCTGTTTTATATCTGTGTTTCAGCTGGAGAGCTTAGTATTCCTTCTGCAAGTGATTCTTCAAAGATCATTCTAGGAAAAGGCTTATTCCTGCCAGATACGATATAAATCATACTAGAAATCTGTTATATCCTGATGAGCCCATCAGAAGCAACACTTTAGGTATACCAAGGGCAACTCTTGGCCTAGTGTTTCTGCTCTGCATATACTTTTCAGATAAGGAGGAAATGGAAACTACAGAATTCTCCACTGCCTTATCCAGCAGCTATTCTTGGTTGATTAACTTCTATCAGCACAACACAGTTATGCCGAATCCATTCCAAACTGCTGCTACAGCTCTGCGGCACGTAGCTCATAGCAGAAAATGAGGGGGGTTGCAACTTACTGCATCTCTGCATCACATAGCCGAGGTACTTATATCTACTATCCCATATGACAGTTGAATGCACACATGCATATCTTTTCATTGGTCATAACATTTTTTCTTGCAAATGTTGCAGTCACTTCAAGTCACTGCAGTGGCTCCTTGTAGTATGAAATGCTGTGAATGCTTTGTAGGATCAATTGTGTGGGTATTTTGTAAGCTGCTTTTAGCTTCCTGTGGCTATAAAGTAATGTAAGCCTGTTTTCAGAATTTCTTGGGTATCGTAACGTTTACGTGAGTTTTTGTTCCAAGTTACTTGCCATTTTGTTGTTTTCTCCTTGGCCATGCTCAATATCTCTCAAGCTCTGAAAGATAAAGAGCAGCAGCATTTAAGAATCAATGTAGGTCAGAAATTTCCTTTTAAAAAATCCATTTTTTTGCAGTTTCATTAATTACAAATCCAGCATGCAAATACTTTTGTGCTTCCAAAAGAAGCTTTTCTGGTTTGCTTGAAATGATTGTCTATCATGGAGGTTTCATGGGCTTTTACAGAAACATGGTTATGTAAACAAATGTCTTTTGGACATAAATATCTTGTTCTAGGCACAGCAATCATTTATTTGAAGGACCACTAATATGGTATGGATTTCCCTCCCTCTGACCATAGGGACAGCTACTGTCTTGGGACAAAACTCTTCTGACTTCCCATCTAGCCATCTCAGCCACAGCACAGAGTAGTGCAACAGCTTCTTTTCTGAGATGGAGGAAGGTTGAGGTGGGAGAAAATGGGGCACAATAGTAGTATGGGAAGGCCATGGATCTGTGGTATCCACAAGCCTCTGTTCCCCTGCTCACTCACCAAGAGGTAGTTCAGCTAGATGACAGGCTCATTAGCCTTAAATATGTTAAAAAGTAGGAGGCAAAAATGTATCCATTGTTTCTCCTGCTGAGCCTGCCCAGGCTTAGGTTCAGGAGAAGGCACTGATTCCAGAGTGCCTCCATCTACAGGGGTTCACAGTCTCCTAGGATTGTGCTCTAAAGGGCACTGAAGTATTGTGATGTAGCCCTTCCCTCTTTCTACATCAGTCTTCAGAGTAGTCTGTTCCATTTGTATTTTGTTTTCCCAAGATGCAAAGTCCCAACTATGGATAAAACTGTATTTTGTAGTCTGATTTGTCACTCATACATGGTAAGTCATATCTACCATAGTCTATGGTAAGGTGTCCCAAGGCGTTTGTAGGGAACAGGATAGAAAACCTTAAACAAATAGAAAAGCTATAAGTAAGTAAGTAAGTAAGTAAGTAAGTAAGTAAGTAAGTAAATATCTAGCACATCCCATGGCCAGTCCTTACATGGTTTTGTCCATATAAATTTTGAGAGGCAGAAGCTTCATATTTCAATGGGACTATGGGATGTGAATTTATGGCCTTTCTGTAAAACGTTGCCTGAAACTGATGATGCAGTGTCATGGGAACCCTTTACCATCACTTCATCCTATTGCTGTAAAATGGAAAGTCCCAGCCCCTGTCTTTTTGCGCAGTCATTACCTGAACAGGATCACGTGCGATAATCAGATGGCGAGGAACCATAGCTTATGTTTCAATCTGAGAGAACATTTTTTGTCTTACAGTTGAAATGAAATGTATATCTTTTCCCTATCTTTAATTACTTAAGTTGCCTGCTATTTCCCAAAGAGATTTGAAAAAGACGGAGAGCTGGCTGTGGAAAGGCATGCAGGACAATCAGTTGCTGGAAAACAATTTGCTCCTTCAGAACTGTGCTATCACAGAGCTCCAGTTAAACCTGTTAACCCCTTAACTCAGGATAGGATATTTAAAGTGATATATTTTCCTTGGTGAATTCAGAAATGACACTGCTATAGAGAAACTGGCCTAGTCTGCCTCAGTCTAAAATTCTGAACAAGAGAGTTCCAAAATGACAGATCTCTGGATTGTATAATCTACAATCCCCCTGCACATACCTTCACTTGTCAAATGCACTGCCTCAAAGCACTATTCAGAACGGCAGGAAAGAATTGCAGCACTCATCACCTGATGACTGACATCTTTAGGCAGATTTCTCTCTGGACTATTCTTGGGTTTTTCAGATACATTCTACCTTAAAGAGATGAAGAGAAAAAAAGGGGCTTACCCAGTCACTAAGGTACATTAGAAAACAGAGAACTTATGCTAGAATGCCATTTTGAGCAAACAGACCAGCAGCCAAATACTATAACTGGATGCAGGACTGAAAAGAAAGTAAGATCTCTTAGAATGGAACCAAGAAATTAGAGACTAGAATAATTTTCTAGGACATCTGCTGAGGTACTGCAAAGGTGATGTTTGAAGTTTCTGTGTGCTACGTACATGGCTGTTGCATACATTTTCCAGTAATTCATGAATAGATGGTACCAGCAAAGATATCTTTGTCAGCAAATCCTGTTACAAGATAGGAAAGGACTCTTGCTGTATTCCGAAGCTGCCTGTTCAAAATTTCATGTAAGGGCCAAAAGTTATGTTGCCAGCAGATTTTTGTAATACTGTACTGGGGTGTGTGTTTCTGAAAAGCAGCTTCAGGAAACTGATATCAGAATATGGGTAATGGTATGTGAAGAATGCATTCTGCCCTAGCCGGACATGCTGGGAAGAGTACATCTTTTTTCTTGTCTAAACATGCATAGGATAGCATCCTTGGTTTGCTAAGTCAGAAATTGCTTACCAGTGCCTTAGACAACTGTGGAAGAAAGGTAGCATTGTAAATGAAAGGAAAAGACTAAAATGGCCATTGTTGCCCTGCAGCCTCAGTCAGGCTGAGCAAACAATGACTACTCCGCATTGGGGAGTCTGGGAACATATATATGTGCATTGTTGATTTTGTTGTTGTACACAAGGATTGTTCCCCAGGTCACTGAATGGAGTGAAAGGGCAACCCTGTGTGCATACATGCACTTCAAAGTTTTTGGGGCATGTATTTGTGAGTAGGAAGGTTCTCTGTTGTATTAGCTGCTTAATTATGTTGTCCATTTCATATACCTTTTTCTGGAAAGATGAATCCATGGTTAGTAATAGATTCACACATGTAAATAAGCCTTCTGTAAGGTAAACACTCCCCAAGGTAAGATTTTCTCTAGTCTTTGGTTTTAATTTCACTGGCTTTTATTTCCATTGACAAAATGGCTGTTACAGTTACTTGATTTTACTTCAGGACTGCCTTATTCTTAATTCCTATGAAGACAATCTTTAGAATCTGGATTAGAATTGAAACATCAGCATTTTATTACATGCGTTAACTTCTTCATAATGTAAGCTCAGTATTCTTAGATTAGGAATAAATTTTGTTTGAAGAACGTAAGAAGTGTGCTTTACAGGATCAGGCACCTCTAGAGGCTCCATTTTTTATGTAGTTGACAAGTCCTCGTACGCCGATTATAAATTTATGGACTGCACATATGACAGAGCCGTAGCAGCAGCTATTTGCTTGTGCCATGATGTTCTTTGTGATGTATGTAAAAGTGATATATCTGGAATTGCTCAATTTGTATATTAACTTTAGTTTCATCTTGATCTAGAATCATATGGCAGAGACTGCTCCTTTTTGAGACAAAGATTTAATATGGAGAACTGTTGTTTATTGCAAAATAACTGCAGATTCTGACAAACATTACTGCTTCTTTCAAATAATCTAACAGAAGTGACTGGCATTTGTGTATACAGGCCAGTTTAAATAGTAATGTTTCATCTAAAATGTTTGTTGATATACAACTGGATTTTTATGCACATTATTCATGTGATAGAATTTGATAAAATTGTAGCCTTTTTGTAATTATTTTCTATGTTGTGAAAAATATTGTTGTAATTTTTATAGGTAATTTACAATAACATACATGTTTTCAAATATTTTGAAATCTAATGTTATCTAGAGCCCTGAGAGACAACTTTTTATGCATGTTTAGAAGATATTCCTACTTGATTTGTAGATTTAGACATTCTCTCCACCCTACCCCATTATTATTGTGAAATAAATTAATTGCATCTGCCTGGGGTTTGGCATACTGACAAGTGATATCTAAGCATTATAGCATAAATAAAATTGAATGAATGTGGAATGCAATAATATATTAATGTAATCATATTAATTTGTATGGATAGTTACACTGAGTTAATAATAAAACATCTCTTTGAAGGGTTCTTTTGGAGTATGTTTGAGATAATTTTGTTTAAAAAAGTAAGTTTCCACAAAAATAGTCTGGAACACTGTCAAATCATCTTTTTTCTGATGTGAATTTTCCAAACACCCTCAAAACAAAAAAGGCTGTACATCTTATAAGTCTATATTACAGTTCTGAAACTATTGTGGTTCATGCGTATGGTACCCACTGTCTCTCAAGTTGCTGTTAGAGGAAAAAAAGACGCTGTTTAAATTTGTTATTTCTTTATGTAGTTGACAATTCCTCATATGCTGATTATAAATTTTTTGACTGCACATATGACAGCTGCAGCAGCAGCTATTGGCTTATGCCATGAAATTATGTGTTGCATTCAAATGTATCTCGACACACACACAAAACAAGGTATCAAGTAGTTGCTATTTTTTGAGCAGAGAAGTAGCTGCTTACTATTTCTCTGTTGGTGCTTGTTTTTGTTTTGCTCAGACCTTTGTTAATTTGGTAGTCTAATCTACATTCAGTTAACCGCATCTCTTTCAGTGAGTTTCCAGAGGTTTATTACTCTTCACTACCAAGTCTGTGGAAACCTTCAGAAGAGGAACCAATTTCCAGGTAAGAGTAGAGAATCTGAGTGGAGAAAAATGGTTAATCACAGGCAAACATTGGAGACTAGTGGCTCCAGTGTTAGTGGGGCAGTGTATCCACACACAGCTTTAGTGGTAAAGGAGCTATCCATGGTGCTGAACCCAAACACACCTGAACACCCCCCTCCTAGCATTTCAGGACCATGGATGGCTCATTTAAAGCCCAGGGCATGGAAGCCATCAGTTTTGAATGTATATACAGTACAGGTGCATATTGTTACTGCTGCCACAGCTGTTTTGCATTTAACAGTGGGCTTGTTACATATTTTCATCTATAATGGGCAGTTTGCTTCAAATTACATGAGAAAATATTTTAATCTTTCCTATGGTGTATAAAGCCTGCATCATACTGCCCTCTAGTGTTCCCATGTGGAAACAGCAGCTACAGGGATTCCATCATCAGAGTCTTGTGCATCAATTGCCCAGATACCACAACATGTCTGCAATAGAATTATAACATTATATAGTATAGAATTCTGTAGAACAGAATACTATAGAGTATTCTGGATATTTTCTTATTGCACAGACAGTTCAAGTGGAACACTTGTCAGATTTATTGAACTTCACTGCATTCTATGAACTGGAAATGTATGCTGGTGAATAAATATTAATCCAAACAAAGTACAACTGCTGTTGGTGAATGAAAGAATTGGCTTGGTAGTTGACCTAGTCACTATTCTGCTGAAAGAGTAGAACTCGGGTTTGAAGGCTGTGTCTGGACTCAATGTAGCATCTGGATGCTCAGGTTATAGCATTTGGGGCCTGGACAGGCCTTTCTCATTGGATTATTCTGTGGCTGTGCCTTTTTCTGAGGGAAGGTGATACAGCCACTGTTGCTCACATATCACATTTGGAGCATAACTGCCCTAATGAGTCTATCCTTGGAGTGTGGAGTACTGTGCTACCAACTGGGCACACCTGTGCTTCATCCTCAGAGACCCCAACTGGACCACTGTATGATTGTGACAACAGATTATCAAGTTCACCTCCTTAAGAGTATGGAGTATGCCATCCAGTAGTCTCCCCATCTCTAAATTTCTTCCCTCACAATGTTGGCGTGCTTCCTCGTTCCCACGGGTGGTTGATTGGGCCCCTCAGCTGCCCTTGAATGAGTCTCCCATAGCAGGCACTGGTGGGTATACAGGGCCTTGGACTGCAGCTGGAACTGGGTCAGTTTTAACATCTGGTTATCACAGTCTGAGCTGTCAGTCCAGCCAAAATGGTCAGCTCCTTGTGCATGCCCCTGAAATTTGCCGGAACGTGCACACACAACACTTTGTAGGGTTCCAGGTAGGGTTCTTTCTCAGGGATCGAACTACTGAACTATAAGCCTTCCCTTTTATTGAATCTTACTTAATTTTGTATCCTGTTAATCAGTTACCTGTGATTGCTCTTGTCTTATTTCATTGAGAAGTATACATACATGCAAAAATGTAACTAACCACAAAAAGAAAAAAATGTGCATAGAGACTTTGGAGGAGTCCAGTCTTTTACTGGCTCATTATGAAACAGAAGTTCACAGAAGTCTGTTAGTCATCCGTAATGCGAAAGAGCTGCAATGTAATAGTCTCTTAAAACTGCCAGTGCATGTTTGCTGAACCACAAATAAGGTGTTTCTGATCTCAGCATGCAGACTGGTTCCACCTTGATGGCAAATATTATTGCTGCTGGATTGCAGTTGTGGAAGACAAGGATGGGCAGCAATCCCATCTTTGACCTCCAACTGTTTTAGACCAGCTTCCATACTGTTTTAGACCAGCTTCCATATTGACCATACTGACAAGAGCTGATGGAAAAGGAAATGTAAAACATCTGGAGATCCACTCACTTTCTGCTTATCTTTACTGCTGGGTCTCTATTTTAGGAAGAACACTGAACTTGTATACATAGAAATTGCTACGCTCAGGTCTGCTTGCTATGTGGAGCAGCAGCCCAGCTGATGGAATCTGAGGTGGTTTAGAGGTATTCGACAGGGATGTCCTCTTTCCCCATTGATATTTAAGTTTGGAATCCCTGGTGTGTGCTATCACACAAAACTCCACTATCCATGATTTGTGCATAATGTGTTAGTAATAAAGTTATTCTCCATGCTGATAATCTTCTATCATTTATTTTGAAACTCCAGCCATCAATTCCAACCTTGACGCTGACAATTAATGATTTTGAACAATTATCTGCTCTTAAGCTATTAACTGGTGAAAGTTGGATAGTGCACCCCATATTGTACTGTCTAAATTGGTAAGTTAGACTCTATGAAGAATTAATTATTTACCTGGGAGTTCCTTCCCCTAGACACTTATCACAAAAGATTAAGTTAAAATGGGGCAAGCTGATTAATGGGATATCAAGGGACTTTTACAGATGGGCATCTGTAAAGTTAAGCTTACACAATATAGTAAATACATGTAAAACAAATATATCTCAAATTGTGTATGCTGTACATGGTATTCCATTATATCTAGGAAGTGCTTTCAGAAGTCCACTGCTTTGTTTCATAAAGTTTATGGGGCTCCACTTCACCATGAACATCCTTGAATGCAACTTCTGATTAAAGAGGGTAGATCTTGCCTTCCCTGACCTTTCTCTATACCACTGGGCCTATTTATTGGCATACTTGGGCTTTTCCACTTAAATTAGATTCCGCTCCCTGGTTTGTTCTGGAATTTTCATTTTTCAATCCTCTTCCCAGTGGGACTGTGCTGGGTTCTTACCCTATCAGGGCAGGTAATGGGCCCCTCCAGCTGTGGTAGTTAGAGAGCTACTTATACTTTCACCTTGATTTTGGTTTAACATATTTTCACATGCAAAATTAACTTTATAGGGGAAGCTCAGATTTTTAAAAATGGCCAAAACAGACTGATCTTTCCTTTGGTCAGCTTGTCAGCCCTGATACTTTTTTCCCATTCTCTGCTTTGTAAGCTAAATATACATTGTCATCTATAGCTGCATTACAAAATATACCATGGAAACTTTTAGCAGAATCTAGGTTTTGTTCTGCTGTATTTACAGATTTAGAACAACCTGTGTTATTAAAAGTTTTGATTGACACCAAAAAACTACAAGAGCCTACAAATATGTTTACATTTGGCACCAACACTGACATTTTCTGAGTCAGATTAGTTGCTCTCTGTCACCAGACATTTAATGGCATATGATTATTATGTCAGTTGTTTTAATTAGGTCTACTTTTACTGAAATTGTTTTTGATTATTGTTTTAAATACTATATATTCAAATTTTAGAATGTTTCAAACACGTATACTGAAATTTTCTATTGTGCTTTATTGTATCTTCATTTTTATTTTATCACTTTGTATTGTAACCTTTTTTATTACACTCAAGAAATGGTTGTGAACTGCCTATTGGGTGGTAAAGAAATTATTCTATTAAGCAACCAAACTCCAGAGCACTCTTATGCACATCTGCCCATCAATATGTGGCGCATTTCAAGATCAGGAAGATAGCACATGACAGGACTAAAGAAAAAAGGAAAACATTCTTTTCTGATACATGGAAAGATTCAAATATTTGTGTTCCATATCTAGGACAAGAAGTAGAAATCCCTACTTTTATAAGGATGTTGTACAAAACAAACACAGGACTACCCAAGCCTGTTGATGTCCTTGATTTCTAACAGTTGTTATTGACCCAGGTTGAGCTCAGTGCGACTTGGACCAGCTTCAAATGATAGCAGCCAACAGAAACCTAGGCCTGTAACACCCGTAGCAGTTTTCTTTGGTATACTTTGGTAGTAAACTAGCCTCATTTGGGCGGGTTTCTTTTAGATATAAAGTTCAGCACTGCTTTACTGCCTTTCCTGGCAAGAAGCCCCAGACACACTGTTTTTATGATATATTAATTGCCAAGGCAAATAAAGATTGTAATATCCAAAGTAATTATTATAATAAACATTCTAAAACAATAAAAGTACAAAAAACAATGATATGCAACACAAATGTGTCTCTGGAAAACATGCTCAGTTGCCTTCTGCCCTTCTGGTTTGGGCTTGGCTGGCGTCACTGGAGAGGAGTTCACAACTGTGGTATGACAGAAAAAGGTACCATTCCACAGTGGTCTATAATCTTCCTGAGCATGGGAACTACATTTTACCTGAGCCTTCAATGTCACAACAACTTTTAATTAAAGACTTTTTTATCATTTATTATATCTTGACATGGACTAATAGCTCTCTGTTTCACAATGAAATACAACATAAGAATATCAAATCACCCATCCATTTCTTAGCCTTTATCCCATCCATTACTAGACCCAGGTACTGATTCAGAATAGAACCGGCCTGACCTGGATTTGATAAAAATGATAGAGCTAGATGTTCATCTGCATAGTGATTAGCTTTGTGTAGATGCTGAACAATGTGGAGGAACAGAACACAGCCATAGCACATTAGCCAAGGCATAGGGCAAAAATCCCTTCTCCCTACAGAAGATGGTTTTGGCATTACTTGTGTGACAGAGCTGAGCTCAGGTTAGGATGCAGTTGTGCTTCACAATCTATCAAGTGAAGACTCGTGACCTAACAGATTCTACTTCATGAAATATTACTAATGGAGCAGAGTTACTCTTAAGGGTTTTTAGTGGAGGCAGTTATGATCTGGATTCTGTTTCCTTACAGACATGACGGATAAGAGGGTGGCTGCCCCTAACTTGCTATAGAGAGTAGATTAGAAGGTCTTTTATGAGCATGAGCCTGTTCTTGCAGTAAATGTGTTTATCTTAGCAATTTCAGAATTCAGTATTCTGCACTTGGATGTTTTCCTAATCAACTTGATCTGAGAAGCAGGGGCTGACAAGTTCTCAAGAGTCATTCTTCAGTGACAGTCTTATGACCCCAGCAGGTATTATTTCTACTGGCTTTGGTGTTTTAATTATTCAGAATGATGCTGCAGAGAATTTTTGCTGTTTTTTTTATCTTAGAATTATACCAAGAAACTATGGAACTATAATTTGGATTATAATTAAGAAATCCACCAAGGTAAAAAACAGAAAATAATTTGATCAAGACTCCATTCTCTTACACTGAATGCCTTTATTTAAGACTAAAAATGACTTGGCTTTCAGACAGTGGAATAATACTGGCAAAGAACTTTCACCACCACCACCACCACATTGCATTTATATCTGGCCTTCTTCCTTCTTGTGAGGAGCCCAGAGCAGCTTATATGGTTCCATTTTATCCTCCTAATAGCAAACCTGTGAGTTAGATTAGGCTGAGAGTGCCTGCCTGGCCCAAAGTCACACAGTGAGCTCCATGGCTGAGTGTGGACTAGACAACGGATCTCCCAGGTTCATAGTCTGACACTCTTACCACCACACCACACTGGCTCTCGATTTAATTTCAGTATTCTGTTCCTGATAAAATTTTTTAATAGCATAGCCCAGCCTACCCTAATCTAAAAGCAACTGTCTGATAGGAAAGGACCCTGAAGTACAAAGGGATGATGGTTGATAGGTGCCATATAACACTGAGACAAAAAGATGTGGCTGTTTAAAAGTAAAACAAATTATAAATTAAAATAGATAAAACATATAAATATCTGAAACAGGCACTAATTGGTATAAATGAGGCAAACAGTTAAATCAACAATTACTGTGGTGTTACTTTGAGAAACTGAGATCTTGTCCTCATGCCAGTGATGTCTTCAGCTAGCATTTCAGATAATGAATAAAATTCAGAGAATGTTCAGATAAAGCCATATATCAGAAAAGTTCGTAAATTGAAAATGTTAGATACAGTGAGCTTGCTTTTAGGCAGGCTCACTCTGATACAGAGTGACAGACAACACAATGAATTCAGAGTTCAGATAATGGCACACCTACTCCCTCTTGGATCAACACGTTAACATGAGGGGATTTGAGAGTGCCAGAGAAGCCGGGACCAATGCCACGGAGGAGAATCAGCAGAAGCTAGCCGCTATTTCTAATGGTGATGGTGTGGAGAAACTCCTGAAGAGCAGCAGTGGTAGTTGAAGGAGGCACTGATGGGGGATCCTTCACAGACAATGGCAGTGCCATTCAAGCTAACTCCAGTAAGTACTGCAAAAAAAGTAAACTACTTCTGAATATTGCTTACCTTAAAAGCACTATGATGAAATAATCCAAAATGAAACGAGATAGCAGCAGAAGGTGAGACTCCCAGGTCAAGATGCACCCAGCCAGCTACTGGGGAAGAGCAAGTATGAATAGTGCTAATGAAACAACTAGAGCAAAGCTGAAAGGAAGCTTGACCCACACAGAGGCAAAAGGAAAGTCCAGTGCTGCAGGACACAGGCGATTGGAACATGGGGCATGAGAAGTAGGAATCAAGGCAAAGTGGAACTAAAACAAGAAATGGAGCAGTTAAACATCTTGGAGTGAATGTACTAAAGTGGTGTGGTGTGGTTGTTATAGTGCTGATCTGGGAACCCAGGAAATCCCGGTTCTTGTCCCCACTCAACCATGAAGTTCACTTTGGGCCAGCCACGGACTCCCAGCTTAGACTAGCTCACAGGGTTGTTATTACGAGAACAAAAATGGTGTGGAGGAAAAGTGTGTAAGCCACCTTGGGCTCCTCACAAGAGGAGCAAGGGTGGGATATAATGAAATGTAACAATAACAAGAAAAGCTAATCAGTGTAAGGCTGTTCTACTGGAAATGAAGGTCAAGATTGTCCACACTACATTCCTGATCACTATGTATGTGTATAAAAGCTGGACAGTGAAGAAAGCTGATAGTTAGAAAATTGATGCGTTTGAAACATGGTATTGGAGGAGAGCTTTGCTAATACTCTGGAAGGGCAGAAAATGATAATCAGCTCAAGCAAGAACTTTCCTGGAAGCAACTGAAGAAGTGGTACTTCTGGCACATCATGAGAAGGCAAGACTCTTTGGAAACAATAAGGCTAGGGAAAGCTGAAGGCAAATAAGACAGGCCACAAGACGGATTAATTCCATAAAGCAAGCCACAGCTTGAGTTTACAAGAGCTGAGCAGGGCAGTCAAGAAGGGGGCATTTTGGAGGGCTTCCATTCATAGGGTCACCCTAAGTCAGAAACAACTTGATGGCACAAAACAACAAACTGTTCCTAGGAGTTGGGGTGGCTATACAGAGCAAAACTAAAGAAATAAAAACAATGTAGAATGTATATTTTAAGAACATGGATTAAAATTTCACATCTGGAGAGTCAGGCAATTTTCACTAGATGCTAAAAACAAGCATATTTGGGAGTGTTTTGCCGTTTGTGCCAGATAATATTGTTAGGGGCTAGAACAGCAGCGTGAAATCAAAGGTGTATGAAACCTCAGTTTCAGCTAAAACAAGTCTTTTGAGACAGTCAAGTTCATTAAGTTCCTATTGCTCCTGCAGGGCACAAACTTGGATGGACGGGTTAATTTGGCCTACCACAGTCAGTCCCCCACAAGGGGCCAAAGCCGGCCAGCAAAGACAGCTATTCACGGCTGCGGAGCAACCACGCACAGCGCGGGCTGTGAATGCAGAAGGTCCCGCGCTGAGTCTCGGCGTCAGTCGCCACGCCGAGCGGTGCTAGGCAGGCCGGCTGCCCCTCCGGACGGGAGCGCGGGCCTGCGTTGCCTCAGGGTAAGGCAATTCGCGCGCTCGATCCGGGCGAGTATCCCCAGCGTGCTCCCAGCAGAGAAGTGCGTGGCAGCACCAGTGCGGCTGCAGTACGCAGACATGCGCTTCGCAGCCCTCCGCATGGGATAGTACTCCACAGTTAATTAGGCGGCAACGACGCCCCGGAGGAGTTAAAAATAGCCTCGATTTTTTCCACGCATGCACGCACCCCGCGCGTCTTTCTCTCCTCTCCTCTCCTTTCCTTTCTATTTTTTTCTTCTTTGCAGATGCAGGCGCCGCTCGCGCCGCGGCTTTCACGTTCCCCACCTCTTTCCTCCTAAATGGATTGGCTACGGAGCTGATCCCTCCGATCAAACTCCCCAAGCCGCCCAATGGCACAAAGCGGCGGCGGCGAGCTCAGCCAACCGCCTCAAGCCCCGGGCGGAGCCGTGCCGGGCAGTCGCCGGGGCTGAAGAGGGGCAGTACAAAGGCCGGTTTGAAAGGGGCGGGTTCGCCTGCTCGCCGCAAGCAGGAGGAGAGGAGCGTGTGAGCGCGCGCGGGCACATGAGCCGGCCGCCGCCGCCGCCGCCGCCGCCGCGCTTGAGCCTCGCGCGGGGAAGCCGGCCTGTGTCGTCTCCCAGAAAAGGCCGAGGCGGCAGCTCTGCGCGGGGCGAGGAGGACAGCGAGCGCGCCCGCCCGCCCGTGGGGGAGAGGGAAGGCTGCCTTCCCCGCACCGTGCGCGCCGATACACTGAGACCCAGCGGCTGGCGGGTGTGGTGTGAATAAGCAGCGCCTCGGCGCCCTGGGCGCGCCTCTTGCGCCTCTTTTCCGTTTGCATTGGCCTCGCAGCTTCAGCCTCAGAGCGCCGGCCGCCCGTGCCGCGCCGCTCCGTGCCGCGCTCGTGGTCGCCCTTGCTGCTGCTCCCTGCAGTGGAGACAGCGCATCCTCGCGCGGAGGCAGCAGCGCGACCTCGGCTTTCTGGCGGACAACACCTCCACGGATCTACCTGCTCGCGGGAGAGATGATCTGGGAAAGGGGATCTCCCCTCTTCTGACCTGCCAAGCGCCCCCTGCTCTTCCTCTCTCTTCCCCGCCCTCGTTCGGCTCGCCACTGATTCATTGATTGGTTCATCTTTTGGGGGTTAATGCTCCATCCATCCCAAGGGCAAACAGCATTGCCGTCCCAGCAGTCTCAGCAGTCCTACCCGTTTGGCTCACCCGAGCAGGGGAGAGGATGCTCAGCCCGAGGCGGTCTCTGATCTGAGTCGGGGGCTTCCAATACACGCACGTCAACCGAGGCTTTGGGGTTCGCTGCTCTCCGCTTTTCCCTTCCCCGTTGCAGCGCGGCCGTTCTCGCCTTGAGGAGGAAGAACTAGCCAAAAGGCTTTGGGGTGGTCGGCTTGTTTGTGGTTCTCCAAACCAGTTGGCAGGGGCACCTTCTCGAAATCGGAGGGGAACAAACAATGACCCATCCGGCTTTCAAGTGCCTCCAGCGCCGCTCCTTTGCTTGCCCACTGCAACATCTCTCCAGATGACCCACGAATAGGTAGTTGCCCACTAGGGCAACATTCAGAATGACGATTCTGGGTGGTTTCGCATTGCTTCCCCGGGAGTATTTCAAGCGACTGGATATGCTGCCTCTTTAGTACCTTGCTGACTACCAGACCCTCTTGCAGTGGGAGGATCGCCCTGACCAGAGATAAAAGAAGGACTTGCAGTGGTGGCCTCTTGATGCTTGCAAAGTTGCGTTCCTGCTAGATGATGATCTTGGCTTAAGGTGGAGGAGGAAGAACAGTAGTAATCTAGGTGCCTTTTCCTCCTTTGCTTTCTATGCATGCCAGTGTCGTGCTCTCAGTTATTCATGCGCCAGCAAGTGGCCAAAGCACCGCAGACTTGAGAGAAAATGACAGAACAGGAATGCCTGCCAGAAGAGCAACCTTCCATAGGGAGGGGAGCTTGCCTCCTAGCTCTGTGTGTAGCTATTTAAAGCCTGCAGGCAGAAAGAATTGACCTATTCTCATCCTCTGGAGGGAAGGGGATGCAACGGGCTGTCCAGCTGGCTTCAAAGAGCAATTTGAATTCCATTATCACTGGGAACTTTGTTTTAATTGGAGTCAGGCAGGACGAACGTGTCAAAAGTGCTTGAAATTTTGCCTCTCTGTATGCCTCCCCCTGACACTGTACTCCTTGCCATAGTGTGAGAGATGTGGCTGGGAAGCGTCGGCTCTTCCTTGCCATGAGTGGGACTCCATGTGGTTGATTCCCTCTCCCTGCCTTATAGCCTGTTCTACAATCCCTCCTCCTTATCCTCTGCCCTAGCAGGGCATGTCCCGCTCTAACAGTGTCAGCCCTCCGGGGTCTGGAGCCCCTACTGCGCCCAGTGGTGGAGGTGCAGAACAGCATCGCTCTGCCTGGGGAGAAGCTGACTCCAGAGCCAATGGATATTCCTACCCTCCTCCTTCCAGGGCCTCAGTCAAGAAAGCATCGCGTATGGCAAGCAGGTGGAGGAGTGAGGAAGAGTATGATCTGCCGAGCAGCAGGAACCATGGGGTAACTGGCTGCAGGATGATGAGCTTCAGGTCCAAATCTGCGTGGCAGGATCATGGGGACGACAGGAGCCTGCCATCACGCAGGGCAGGAGACCCTTCCCTTGCCACGAGTCCTAGGCGCTACGGTGGGGAGCAGGGAGAAGTGCGTCCGCGGTCTGTGGAGCTGGGGCTGGAGGAGAAGCGAATCAAGGCCAAGATTGATGAACTGGCAGAGGAGGAGGACCAGCTGGACGACGAGGCTGGGTCTGAGGTGGCCTTCTCCATGGGCAGCTGCTGTGGCAGCCTGCTGCACATCTTCAGGTCGAAGAAGTTCCAGTCAGAAAAGCTGGAGCACCTCTACCAGCGCTATTTCTTCCGGCTCAATCAGAGCAGCCTGACCATGCTGATGGCAGTGCTAGTCTTGGTGTGTCTGGTCATGCTGCTCTTCCACACAGTCCATGGCCACTACCAGGTGCCCTATGTGGTGGTGCTGTCTCTGGCCATCCTGCTGATGGTGACCTTGGGTGCTGTCTGCAATCGCAATGATTTCCACCAGGACCATATGTGGCTCATGTGCTACTCTGTCATTTTGGTGGTGTTGGCGGTGCAAGTGGTCGGCTGCTTGCTGATGCAGCCCAGGAGTGCCTCGGAGGGCATCTGGTGGACTGTCTTCTTCATCTACAGCATCTACACCTTGCTGCCAGTCAGGATGAGGGCTGCCGTTATCAGTGGTGTAGTGTTGTCTGCCATTCACCTGGCCATTTCTCTCAAAATTAATGCAGAAGACGAATTTTTATTGAAACAGGTAAGACAGAGTTTTGGGTATTATGGGGGCTTGTGACCACTAAGAGCAATTAGGCTTAATTCCATTGAGGAAACTGGAACACTGCTCTGCTGGGAACTGGGCTGTGAATACTTAGCCCTGTTGTGGCAACCCAAGTTTATAGATGGTCCCAAAGTGTGTGGCTGTAGATTGTTGATTGTGGTGGCGGCAATGATGCTATGATTCCTTTTAACCTTCTGAGTTCAGTTTCCCTGTGCTGCTTTTGCTGGTGCTTTGGCACTGAATAACATTGTTTGTCTTAACATAAGAAAATAGAGATCAGCTGTAACTGGATCATGGGCCTGCTGAATTTTTAACCCACATCCTTCATTCGCCAAAAAACATGGTGAAAGTGGATTTCATAGCTGGTCAGGAAAGAAAGGTAGCTTCCTACTCTTGAAGAACAGCTTTAGTGTAAGACTCGGCACTACATTCTGTAGCACTCAACTAGGAGAGATGAAGTTTACCTGGAAAGACAGGTTGACCAGTTACTATATATTACAAGCTAACAGGAAAAAAGCCCTTATATGGGATGAAGGCTGTACATTTATTCCTGCCTGGAACAGAATTTAGGCCAGAAAACTTTCTATGAAATATTTCCAAAACAGCCTAACTTCTACAGACGAAGATATACCGTATTTTGTGCTCTATAAGTCGCACTTTTCCCCCCCTCAAAAGTAAAGGGAAATGTCTGTGCATCTTATCGAGCAAATATGTGTGTGCAGTAAGTCTGTCAGATGTGCAGCCCATGGGGAAGTGATGGGGAATGTGCCTGTGATTATGTGCCCATTTGATGCAGAATATTTTTTTTCCTCCTCTAAAAACTAGGTGCGTCTTATGGTCAGGCGCATCTTATAGAGCGAAAAATACGGCATTTCTTTTTACTAACAACAGATGTTTTGTGTGTAGCAGTGGCTGGCATATAATTCTCAGAATACTGTTGCCATTATGTTGCTTGTCATTCTGATGAGCAGGCATTCATTTCATGAAAGCAGGGATCGGATGTTGAGAACCACCTGCTGCAGTACCAGGTCTTCATATACACAACTGCAAAAGAGCATTAGTGATTGTAACTAAAGGGCATATGTGATGTGTGACTTGGATGCTTTCGCACATGGCTCTCTTTTATATCCTAAGGACTTAACATCAAGACTCTGTGCGTGGTTATTTTAACTGGTTTGGGGACAACAAAATTAAACCATGTGTTGTGAAATGTTTCCTAAAAATGACCATGCTTGTTATGTATATAACAAAATATTTTGGTAAGAACCAGCTGATAAAGTACTCTCTCTGGTTAAAATACCTGCCTCGCACTCCAGAAAAACAAAGGTCCCTTGTGTTAGAGGCATGGCTGTAAGTATAAGCTTCTCCTGACCTTGGAAATTGCTGGAGCTGTTGAAATATCACTTTGGCAGGTAATTCTGTTTTTTCCTCAAACACACACCTGAATCATTGTCAGTGAAGTGGTTTAAACAAAGCCCATGCTTGACCAAACAAGCAAACAAGGGTCTCATATCTTGCCTCCAGTTCTATAGTTAGCTTGTAAACTCTTTTCATGCCTTTTGTTTATTGCCTTTGAATAGACATTTGCAGACTTCTCACAAGTTCATGGCTTAAGAACACATGCAAATAAATCCCTGGTTTAAATCAGTTATAACTCTCAGTAATCAGACTTAAAGCAAGTCTGGGCAAGGTGAAGATGATAATACTCGCCTACTTCAGAGGGTTGTTGTAAGGCACTGAGAAACTGACTTGTGCACTCCCCTCAGGGGGTCTGATTGACTTACTGCCCTGCTTATTACAAGCCATAGTCCACCTTACCTGAACTGCCAAAGGATGGACTGCTTTTGCTCTCTGAACCCAGATTGGATGTAGATTGGCAGATGTACTGGCAAACACTAGCTTGTGCTAGAGGAAGCAAGAGGAAGAATGGAAAGGAGTTGCATGAGCCAAAGAACTGCTCACCACATACCCAGAGATGTTTTGACACTGTGAACTGGCTCAGTGTCTGTGAAGTACTTGAGATGCTCGAAACGTGCTATATAAAGGCTAAGAATTTTTAGTCAGCAGCATCCTACAGGCCCTGATTACTGCCATATGAATCATGTGTGCTACTGGACTTTTTAGCTGAGTTCAAATCAGGGTGGATTTGATTTAAATCAAATCAATTTCAATCACTAGTCAGTAAGACTAGATTTAATTCATGGTTTTCTGCATTATTAGCATGCCTGCCTGTCTGCACTGTAGGTAGAGGAACTTAACTGAAATTTTCCCAAATTGGGTCTCTTTTACAGCTTGTTGCCATTATAGTTTTCCTCCTCCAAGGAAGAATAATACGATACACAAAAAGATCCAAAGACGTCTGGAGTATTCTCCTCAAAGGGTTTCACTTTCATTTTACTGCTTGCCCCTCCTCCTCACACTTAACTTCTTGTGCAGACCTATTCTGCTCCCAACAATCTTCTTCTATTCATTGTTTTTTTTTTTTTGTTAAGAGGGAAGAGGTAAGGGGTTGATTCAGTATATATAGATTTGCAAAGGAGAAATGAGACTAAGTTCTTTCTCTCAACTGTTTATTTTATAACATTTTTGCTGGGCAGAAGTGGCATGTGATCTCTGTGAATTCTGTGAACTATAAAACCAAGCATCTGTGATAATATCTTTCAGATAGAAAAAAATACCTAATAATCTTAGAAAAACCTCTGGAAGAGCATGACATTGTGAATGGATTAACAGCATTCATTTTCCAAAAAATTTACACATAGCATGAATATACAGAGTCATGTTACATAATTAAAAATGGATCCTTATTACATGACCTTTGGGCTATAATGTATCTTAAAAAGAAAACTATCTTTAAATCCAATTTAGATAAAAGCCAATTTAAATTTTGAAAATCCATTTTTTTATTGTTTTAAAAAATCATTGATTTTTATTCACCCTGGTTCCAAGTGTGGGACAGTTCTTCCAGTCTTTGTTTAATAAGGACTGCAGAGTTGGTACCTGATCCAACCTGTTGTTTTCTAGGCTGAAGGCAAGCGCTTATGCTTAAAGCCATCTGATACTAAAATCAGTATCAGCAACTGCCTCACAACTGTTAACAGGCCTTTTGTTACCTAGGCTGTAGCTTGTTACCATGGAAATCTAATTTTTCTTTGACACTGTCTTGTTGATGCATATACTTTTCTTTGGGTTTCTTTTTTGTGTTGAAAAAAAGAAAAATTGAGAAGGATAAAGGCCAAGTAAATCATATTATGTCCATGTTTTTTCACCTGCTCTTTTTTCGGTCTTCATTTCACTCTCTTGTAACAATTTTCATATATTGATGCTAATCACTGCTGGAACTCTTGTATGTACTGACCTGGGAGTAAATCACTTTGCACTTCAGAGGACTTACTTTGGAGTAAACAGACATGCATGGGATGGTACAGCATGTGGTAAATATCTGCGATTTATTAGAAAGATGTGATTATACCTATAAATATTCTGTTTCTCTCATTCTTATTTTGAGGCATTCCTGATGGTACTACATCTACCAAGAACTGTAGAGTCAGAATCCTATTATATTGCATGAGGAATTGTTACACTCCAGTCTGTGTGATTTAAATCCCTCATGTTATTCCACATCTACTGGGCTCATTATAAAATATCCACCCGTGTGTGTGTGTAAGTTGTGACAAGTTTCACTAGTCTTAGCAAAATGCTTTTCGGCTCATCTCAAAATTCATCACATATTTAGCAGAGTGGGTGGGTTTCAGCAGCATGTGCAGACCCATAGCGTCGTATGTTCTAGTAGTGTTAGTTCTTTTTATGACAACATTTTTGGTGCAATGCTAAAAATATCTACACATGCATTTTGAGCGGCAGAGGCAATGTACTCATGCAATTTTCCAAAAAAACAGAGTGCAGTATACAGAGAAAGAATGAGGAAGAGACAACTGGGCACTGGAGTATAAACACTATTCCAAGGTGGTACTTGCATGCATACCGCATGTGCAGAATCATTCTGTGACTTAGTGATGCAGGATTTGTTGTTCTATTGTATTAGAATTAATATTTACCTAGCATTAGCAGGCAGTGTCCTGGACAGTCACAGCAATTAGACTGTTTCCCCCAGCATTTTTATTCCGTCCCTTTTGCTTTCCCAGCAGAGTTCTGATAGCATAGTTTAGAAACAGCTGCACTATCATGTGTCTCTGTTTTATAACTCTTCTCCGATCCAGGCTAGGCTCCCAGCTGCTTAGACCTTTTACCAAAGCCTGTGTCACAACAATAAACACTTGTAATGCTCTGCCCTTGATGTATGAGAACAAGCTACGTGTGGTGCCTCTTCTCCCTACAGGCTTGCATTAATTAAACACATTTTATCCAATAATACATTGACTTGCTTTGCCGTGGATGTAGCAGCCTTCTTGTTCCTCTCTGGGTGTGTGTTGGGGGCGGGGATGGAAGAATATCTGTACACACATGATATGTATAGATTTCCCTGCAAGAAAGGGTGCTGTCAGTTTTGACAGGGCCTGAAGTGACTGTTTCAAAGACATCTCACCTGACATTTCAGATGAATATTAAGCAATCCCAGGTGCTTCTTGTTGAGTGGGATCTTGTAAGTAGTAGCACAGCAGAGTAAACCTCAGAGGGGGAAATCCTTGATGGTAATACAGACACATACCACCCTTTGTCAGTTATATGCTACATCTGCTAGATTTGTAACCGGAAAAAAATCTTGTTTTCCATCTCATTTGATGGGACCATTTCTTCATGCTATGAATTAGCAGGAGCAGGCAAGCTTGTACCCTCAGATGCTTTGAATCACAACTTCCAAAATTCCTTAGCACTGGTAATGCTGGCAGGAGCTGATGGGAACTGTAGTCCAAGAATCTGGGGGTGCTAGTTTGCCTAGCCCTCCTGCAGTGTATGCCTTAATTAAGTTCTTCACAGTTGCAACAGCAGCCTAAAAAGACCCTATGCAATAGAACAGA